CCCTACCAGCCCTGGCTCTGGCCACCACCCTGGCCCATTGTGACCTCCCTGGCTGTCCCCAGGCCTTTGTGACAGGCACTCTTGAAGCGGACGTGTGAGCTATGAAACCTAGAGGGCCCTCAATAAGAGGGTGGCAGGTCGGGCCAGGCTAGAGCCTGGACCTGGGGTTAGGAAGGGGTTACAGGGAGGTATGGAGGGGCCCAAAACCCTGGGTCCCTGTGGCCACTCCCACCCCCAGTGCCCCCAGCCATCAGCTTCGAGCAGCCACGGAGGATGCCTGGATCCACCCTGCCAGGGGTTTGTAAGGTGGCCCTGCCTGGTGCCTCTCAGTTCCACTCACTCCATAGAGTCAGCCAGGCCTTTCCCACCTCCGGGGGCAGGGAGCGGGGGGCCCAGGGTCGGGGCTGAGGTACCTGGGAACTTTATTGCAAGCGAGGAGGGCGAAATGCAGCGACAGAGACCCAGAGAACCAGTGGGGGCGAGACAAGGACAAGTGGAGACAAGGCTAGGGTGGGGCTGGCCCCTGCACTCGGGACGAGAGCAAGGGGCACCCAGGCAGGGGGGGTCCCCCAGCTCGGGGCCCAGACCCTGCCCATGCCCGCCCCTGCCGACGGGGTCAGGAACCCCGGCGTCACCCGGGGCAGCCCCCTCCCCACTCCAGAGCGTGCCCCTGGATCCTGCAGAGCAGTCCTTCCTCCAGCTGGAGCAGGAAAACCAGAATCTGGTGAGTGGCGAGCCCGCCGAGGCTCCGGGGCCAGCCCAGGCTCAGAGCCCATCTGTGCAGTGGGCTTGCAGCTGTTTGCAGAGCCGAAGCTTCTGCCCTGGCCCCTGCGGCCTCTGTCTCCTGCCCAAGAGGCAGCTGTGACAAGCAGCCCCATCTCTCTGCCCCTCCCCACCCCTCAGAAAAGACAGAACCAGGATCTGCGGGAGCAGTTGGGGGCCCTCCTGGGGCCAGGGCAGCAGTTCCTGCCCCTGTGCCCGGAGCACTCGAGCTGCACGGCCCTGGCCTGGGTAAGTGCATACGGCAGACGCCCTGCCCGGCAGGATGGAGGGCAGTTGTCGGGAATGACCGCGTGGCTCCGCGCACCATAGCCGCGCCCCCGCTCTCCAGCCGTCCCTGAGCGCAGATGCCACCCACGGCCTTGGGGCTGACCCAGGGGCTCTTCCATACATAGCCCCCCGAGCAGGCCAGTGCCCGGCCCCTGGAGGACAGGGCACCCTTGCAGCTGCTGCGGCGAGAGATGTGCCGGGGTGAGGAGTCCTTCGTGCAGCAGTCTCAGGTGGGTCCCCGGGCGCCGGGCCATGGGAGGGCTCCTCCGTGCAGCAGGCGCTGGGGGCCCCAGGGAGGAAGGAGCTGACCCCGTTGGCCCTGCCTGTGCCCGCGCTGTGCCCCTCCCCAGAACGAGCTGCAGCAGATCCGACTGTCCTTTGAGAGGAAGAAGATGGCCATTACCGAGGTGCCCGCCTGGCTGGGGTGGGAGGGCCACTGGGGGGCCCACACCTGGTGGGACACCTCCGTGGGCGCCCTGCTCCTTGGAGCGTAACCCAGTCTCTCCGCTCCCTCCAGGTGTGGGACGGCGTGGCCGAGGTACACATGGCCCTGAACAACCAGGCTACTGGGCTCCTGGTAGGTCCCCAGAGGGTGACCCCTGAGGCTGAGGGGAACAGGGGATAGGCAGTGGGTGCGGGGACAGGGGAGCATCGAGAAGCAGGGGGATATGGCAGAGTAGTCAGGGTGAGAGGACTTGTTTTACCTCCTCTGCCCCCCAGAACCTCAAGAAGGACATCCGGGGAGTACTAGACCAGATGGAGGACATTCAGCTGGAGATTCTGGGGTGCTGTACCGGGTCAGGGGCCTGGGGGGGCCTGGCTGAACTGGGAAAGGGGCAGGTGTCCTGGCCAGGATGGGGGGGATCAACCCCTGACCTTCCCCAGTTCCACTGCACCAGACCAAGGGGGTGGTGTGGGCTGGGGGCGGGTAATACATGGCCCTGACTGCAGCCGCCCCCCCCCCCCCCCCTGCCTCCCCATCCAGGGAGCGTGCCCAGTGCCGCACCCAGGCCAGGAAGGAACAGCAGATGGCATGCATAGCGGTAAGCCCCCCACCCACACCCTGTCCCAGTCTGGCCTCACCCTAGAGGCCCCTCTTGGGGAGGGGTTGTGGGCTTCAGTGGAGGAGGCCCCAGGGCAGGAGCCCCAGCAGGAGCCCGGTGACCAGTTATCCCTGAGACATGGCTGCAGGTGCCTGGTCCTGGGTGAGGGAGTGAGGGGTAAGAACCCGCAGTAAAAGGACCCCCCCACCCCCCCCACCCCCACCATGGGGGCAGGCTCTGACCCAGGCCCTCCCCTGCAGAAGGCAAGGCCGCAGCTGGGATGTTCCGAGGGCCTCAAAGGCCAGCTCTGGTAGGTGGCTGCGTGAGTGCACGGGCAGAGCCCAGTCCCCTGGGACTGTCCCTGAGGGCACCCCCGCCCCCTGACCGCCGCCGCCCGCAGGCTGCTGGCCCTGAGGCTGCTGCTGGGCGCCCTGCTGGCCTGCACCGCCGCCTACGTGTACGTGGTGGACCCCGCGCCCTTCGAGGGGCTGGTGCCCCCCCTGCTGAGCCGCGCCGCTGTCTGGAAGCTCCGGGCCCTCCTGGGCCCGTTCCTGCGCCTGGAGGTGGACGACTTCCTGCCCTTCTAGGCCGGAGGCCCAGCGGCCCCAGCGAGGAGGAGGCCAGGCGGCCAGCGCTGTCCCGGGTGCTCAGCGGCCACGCTGGCCCCTGCCCACGGCACTGCCGAGCACCGTCCCCGCCAGGAGCTGCGGAGAAGGGTGGAGGCGGGGTCTGTCCTGAGGGCTGGGCCTGCTGCTGGACATATAGTCGTGACACACACAGCGTGTGAGCTTGTTTCCATGGAAACGGGGGCGGGGGTGGCGGGGGCAGGAGGTTTTGCTGCCTTCTGAGGCCAGTCGCACACTTGAGGGTTCTTCGGGGTGGCGCCCCTGCCTTAGCACCCATGCCCCATCTGCCCGCTGGGCGGCAGCCCCGCCACAGGAAGCCCCCAGCCCACCCCAGGCCACCAGGGAGGGCTCTGAGCAGAGGGTGTTGCAGGAGGGTCTCCACTGAAAGTGAGGACCAGGGGTCCTCGGGCCTCATGCCTGGGGCCCGGGCCCAATCTGCAGACCTCAGGGATCAGGTTCCCTGACCCACCCCCCACCCCCGACTTCTCACCCCTCACGTAACCCTCTGTCCCTATCTGGCCGAGCACCCCACCCTCCCCACTCTTGACCAGCCACCTCCACCCCCACCTCCCACTCCTGTCTCCTCCCCAACCTAGGATCCCTGTCCAGTCCAGCCTCCTGGCACTGCCCCAAGGCTCGGAGGACAGGGGGACCACGTTGGTGGACAGACTTGTGGAGGTAAACACCAAAAATTTTATTTAGGGCATTAAATTGGGGCGGGGGGAAAATACCTTTTAGAACAATAGAGAATAGCTCTGTGGCTTGCTCATCCCCAAGTGGGAAAATTAGAGGCACCGCCCAGGCAGGAAAAGGGCTGGCCCGAGCCCCCGCCCTGCCCCTGGGGGCATCCAGGCCCCCGCTGGCTGGCAGGGACCGCAGGGCCATGGGCAGTGGGGCCCTCTGAGCTCCCCCAGGTGCCACATCTCGGAGTGAAAGAGTGAAGACTGCCGGGCAGGGCTGGGCAGAGCAGTCACCAGGAACACACTGGACTGGCAGGGTCTCCTCCCCGCCCTGGCAGGGCCCGGATGGCTCACCAGGCTGGCGGCTCCAAGAGGTTAAGGCATCTGTTCATGTGCTGGATGTGGGGAGGAGGGAGTGCAGTGACCTGCAGGGGCAACCTGAGACCCCCACCCCAGCCCAACCCACAGAGGCCTGGGCTCCCTGGGGAGGAAGTGGCGTCTAAAGTGCTCGGTCAGGCAGGGAGTTCGGGGTGCTGGTCCCAGCCAGCTCCAGGGCCCCTGCCTGGGGAGTGGGACCCCCTGCAGCCGGTGGGGACTTCCTGAGGTGGGTGGGCACAGGGTCACAAGCCCCAGGGGGCTGGGAGTCAGGCAAGGTGCAGCTGGTGGAAAGAGGACCCCCAGCCCCCGGCCCAGGGTCTGTGGCTGCCTGGCTTCCTCGGCTGTCCTCTCGGGCCCCAGAGCTGCCTACTTGGTGTCCCGCTCAGGCCCCGAGAGACTGGGGAAAAGGCTGGAGGCGGCTGAGTGCAGGCGGCACATAGCCCCTCGGGGGGGTACCCCGGTGGCCGGGCTCCAGGGGGCCCGCAGCGGTGGGCGGTCCTCAGGGAGGCCAAGGTGGCATAGGTGCAGGCCGGGGGGCACCCTGGGCTGGCCACGCCGGCCCCATCCGCGGCTGCAGGTGCCGATCCGCCCCCTGGGGGCCGCAGCGTCCCGTGAGAGAGAAGCAGAAAGGTGGAGGTCAGCATGGGGCAGAGCTGCCCAGTGCAGGGTCCGAAGCCCAGCTAGCCTCCCACATTGGGCCAGCCCCTGCCCCAGACCCCCAGTCTTTGCCCTGGCTGGTTTCAGCCCTAAAGAGCCATGGATTCTCAATGCCCCCACCCCCAACATTAGGCAGTGCCAGGTGGGGGCGGGGGGAGGGGAGGCTCAGGTTGCCAGGAGGTGAGTTCCAGTGACTGTAGCTGCAAGGATGCAGCAACGGACCCCACGGGGCCCTCAGCCAACGGGTGGCCCCATTTGCACCCCCTACTCCATCTCCCCTGAGAGCTCTTGGGCTCCCAGGGGGTCCTGGGACGTCTGCAACCCCAACCTTTCTCCAAATGCCCTGTTACCACCAGGGATGACGCAGACCCACGGGAGCCTTGTCAGCCAAAGACCCATCGGCCAGACCCCACCTCCCAAGCTTCCAACTCAGCTTAAGTCAGTGGAAACACCCACGAAGAAGAATGGCCAACCTCTCTCCCAGAGCCTGACCCACTCTGCTCCCCGCCCCCGGAGCCCCCGCATTGCAGCAATAGCCCTAGCCTTGCTCAAGGAAAGGATCGAAATGACTGTTTTTCTTTTTTTAATAAAATTATAGATATATAGATGTAGATATAAAAACATAAAACAGACACAACGCAAGCGGACGCTGCCGTGTGCTTACTCTCGGGTCCCTGGCACCAGGCAAAACTCTGGCCCCCTCCCCCATGTGCTTCCCATGAGGGCGCCGAGGCTCCTGCAGGGCCTGGACTTGGCATGCCTTGGGGTAGGGAATCTCCAGTTTGGCAGGGAGAGGACTCCTGGTCTTATGGGTCCCCTGTGGCAGCGTCCGGCCCGTGCCTGCTCCCACCTGCCTCCCCCCACCCACCCTGGTCGCCTCCCACAAGAGCATAAAGCAGAGGTTAAGGCTTCAATGAAAGCAAGTTTCCCGGCAGTGGGGGCAGCGGGGGCCCGAGCGTTAACACATGGGACGCGGCGTGGCAGCTCAGCGCACAGACACGGGGACGCACCCAGCAGCTGGGCGAGACAGGACACACGGAGCCAAGACCCCACCCACAGCTGGCTGGCTGTCCATCGGCCACCTGTCTGTCAGAACCCAGAGCAATCCCAGAGCTGGGTGCCTGTAGGCTGGGGCTGGACTCCCCGAAGAAGAACTGGCCTGGCCAAGCTACAAGCTTCCAGCGGGTCCCTGAAAGGCAACGAGTTAGGAGCAGCCGGGAGGTGGGGCCTCGGTCCGGTATGGCCAGGGACCCAGGCCTCTCTGTCCATCTCTGGGCCACAGTGACCCATCTGTGAGGGGAGTAGGTGGGGACAGGCCTCAGGGGAATGGGTGCAGCAGGTGCAGATGTAGGCCACACCCCCTCGCCCCCCCCACCTGTGGGAGCGGGGCACCGCCGCACAGATCCTGCAGCCCGGCGGCCCTTGGCCCAGCTGCGCCCTGCTGAGCAGATGGGTGGATGGACAGGCGGAAGGAAGAGGAACAGGCTTGTGGAGGCGTGGTTTCTTCCGCTGACGTGTCCACACCAGGCCTGGGCCTCCTTGTCTCCCGGGGCAGAGAAGTCGGGAGGGGAGGGCAGCCGCTGGGGGTCCTGGTCCCCGGGGCTCCACGGCGGATGGATGGCAGTCAGTCCTCTCACACTGAGATCTCGTACGTGGTCCCACCCACGCCGGACACCTTCTTAACGAGCGTGTGCCGGGCAGGGCTGGCGGAGGGCCCTGGGGGGCCAGCGGCAGGCCCCAGGCGGGCCAGGCCCGGGGACTGCCCGTTAAGTTTACTTGGGGGGGTCTTCAGCTGAGGGTGGTCCCTGCATCAAAACAAGCACATACACGCACACACACAGTGAACGCGGGACCACAGCATGACAGAGGCCAGCGGAGGACACAGGACAGAGGACGCAGACGCAGACAAAGCCCGGGGCGGCCCCTGCCTCTGATCTCAGAAGGTCCCACCCAGAAAATGGGTGGGGGTGCACAGCCTGCAGAGGGAGGGCTGTGTTGTCACAAGACAGACAGATGTCAGAATGGCCATCATCCCCCGCCCAGGTCCCTTGGTCCCTCCCACTGGCACAGATCACAGAGCGCAGGGAGGCCAGGTGGACCCTGGCCAAGCCCCCAGGCCCTGCACCGTCCTAGTGCCCCAAGCCGGGGAGCCAGTGGTGACTCTGGTTCCTTCCCTCCTCCCTCCTGGGAAAACGAGAGGCTGTCTCCCTGCCCTCCAGCCTGCTTAGTACTGACCAGTAGCATTTCTGACATCATGGCCCAAACACCCACGAAGCTGGGAGCGCCTCCCTCCTTCGGCTGCCATCCCACCTCACTGTGCGGCTGCCACCCCCTGGGCCAGCCGCATCCACAACAGGGGCCACCTCGCTGGCTGAGCCCGTGCTCGCGGTGGCACAGGTGACACCCTGACGATACCCATGCACCCACTGTCGGGCCCAGCACACCCCAGCTGCTCAGCTCATATACTTGGACCTCAACCTGTGAGGCAGCCGGCCCAGCTTCCTATTACCCACCTGCTGGGAGCCTGGAACCAGCCTGCCCCTCTGGGCCTCAGTTTCCCCATCTCCAAGCAAGGAAGCCCTTACTTCCTGGGGCTAGGAGCACCCAGGACAGCACGTTCTGCTGTGGGATGATGTCCCCCAGACTCAGCCTCCTGGACCAACACTGTCTCCAGGGGAAGAAGCCCCAGGGTCCCCCCTACACTCGGGTGCACCAGCTGCAGGAGAATGTGCAGCCCACGGTGGGCAAATCCTCCAGCCCCGCTGTCCTCAGACATGTCAGGGTGTCCTTGGAGCTGGGCTACCCTCACACAGTCTGGCCAGCGGGGGCCTCCAAGGAGGGTGAGGCCCACGCCCGTAGGCAGCCACTGGCTTCCCAGACAACCCCCGCATGCTCAGCCAAGAGGCCCCACAGGCGGCCGGACACCTGACCTGTGCTGGGAAGCCCCCTGCCCCCCAGCACCCACCTCTGCACAGCCAGCGAGGGTGGCGACTCCGGGAGGTCCGTGTGGATGAAGGCGACAGCTTTGGGGCCTGCATAGGAGGGTGAGCGGGGCGTGCTGGGTGGGGAGGGGGGACCCTGGCGCACCGGGGACCTGTGCGAGCCGCTGCCGGGCCGAGGCCCAGGGGCGTTGTTGTTGGCCAGGTCGGCCTGCAGGGAGGAGGAGGAGGTCCGCGGTGCCCGGCTCACGGCACTGGACAGCGAGGACAGTGAAGTCTGCAGCGCGGGGTTGCGGGCACCGCCGAAGCCGGGCCCCGCCACGAGGTCGTCTCTGGAGCCGTAGCGCAAGGCAGGGCCGCGGAGGCCCTCGGACAGCACGCTGGCCTGCTGCAGGCTGTAGGAGCTGGGCGCGTCATAGACGCCTGAGTCGCCGAAGAGCGAGTCGGCCTGAGAGCGCAGCAGCCGCTCCCGCTCCTCTCTGTCCTTGCGCTCCTGGATGGAGGCCATGATGGTCCTGGACAGGTTGTCGTAGCGCACAGGTGAGGGCTCCCGTGGCCGGGGGCCCAGCACCGGGCTGAAGCTACGGGGCGGGGGCCGTGGCGGGTCACCCACCGCCCCCGGGTGCAGGTAGGGCGAGCGGTAGCTGGCCACCCCGGCCGCGGCGTGGGCTGGGCACGTGTGGCTGCCGGGAGAGCCGGGGTTAAGCAGACTGTCATAGGACAGGCTGCCATTGCGGTTGGGCAGCGCGTGGGGGGCGAAGATGCTGCGGTGGGGCGTGGGGGGCCCGCCCTCAGAGCGCAGAGGCTGCAGGGCCACGTGGTCCCCACCCCTCCGGCTTGCTGCCTTGAGGCTCAGGGAGCGCAAGGCACCCGAAAAGGTGTCAGCAGCACTGAGTGGCGGGGACGGCGGGTAGGCTGCATGCAAGCCTCCAGGCGTGTAGTCAGGGAGGTCCAGGCTGGGCTCCGACGCAAAGTCCAGGCTGTGGATGCTGTCTTCCCCCAATGTCAGGGAGTCAGGGCCAGGGACCTGTGAAGAAAGAGGGCACACGTCTACCACTGCCCGGCCACCCTGCTCTGCCCAGCCACCAGGTGCTCTGTGCCCCGACAGAGGCTACAATTTGGTGACATATGTGACCGACAAGCTGCTCCTGGAAGTTCTCCATCCCCTAACCACCTCTTCCTTAACCACCAGAGAAGCAAGTGGGGACAGGGTAGAACAGAGCGCCCAGATGCTGCCTCCCCAGGGATGGCTGGGCACACTTCTCCTGCTCCTACTTCCCCAGGAAAGAGGAGGGGGGCCATGGGGACAGCCTCGGGAGCTGGACCTTAAGGAGATGTAATAACCACATGGAGACCCAGAGCCCTCTCCTGGGCACCTCATGGCTGAGGACTGCAGTCGCTGCCATGTAAGAGCAGAGCTAGCTGCTGCATCTACCCAGGGCAGGACCCTCAGAGCCCACATGGGCCAGGACTTCCTGGGGAGGGGCCAGGGGGCAGCCACAGCAACAGGGCGGAGGGGCCTCTCTGAGTCTCCGTGAATCAAGGCATGCGATCACAGGCTTGGGCTGGGGACGAGAGCCTGCAGAACCTCAAAACCCAGAGCGGGTACTGGTAGAGACAAATGTGGCCTTGGGGTACTTGGCCAGAATCCTTGTGGGATCCAGGACAATCCCAGGAAGATGAGGCAGGTGAGGACACCTAAAGCCCCCCATTCCCAAGGAGGGCTGATCAATACCCCTCCCGGCGCAGGACCATGGCATGCTGGCCAAGGAGGCCCAGACCCCCTGCCCAGCCCAGAGGGTCCAGAGATGCCGGGTCAAGCAGGACATCGGTCCTGAGGGGAGGCAACCGGTCCAGGCATACTGGCCCAGTCACAGGCTCACCTCTCAGGTGGCCATGAAAGAGGGTGGGCAGCCTGGGAATGCTCAGGGTTCTGGATCTTCCTCAGGCTGTCCAGGGTTGCCAATTGCTCCACAGTGATCGTAGAGTACTTAACACAACTCAGAGAAAATAAATGTGCTTTCTTAAACAATCTCAAATTCTTCTGAAGCCTTCCCGTGGGCCTTACAGAGTGACCAATAGTGGAATTCCAGGCATCCTGGCACACACTGCTCCTGGGGGTAGCCGCCTACCAGGCGAGCGGGCAATGCTGGCCAAGGAGCAGGGGCCAGCCAGGACTGCCTGTCCCAGCCCTTCCTTTGTGCATAGCTGGGATGCCCACAGGGTGAGGGCCTGCTGGCGCCCACAAGGCTGTGACCCCATGGCCCCAGGGGCAGGGCCTCCTGGGGCGAGTCCTCTAGGAGTGGGACCTCTGGGGTGAGGCCTCTGGGGACAGGGTCTCCAGGAGGGGTGGAGCAGGACTTCCGGGGTGGGGCCAGGCCTCCTCACCTGCTCACCAGGCCCGCAGAAGGGCGCCTTGGGACCCGAGGGAAAGGCAGGCCGGAACTTGTACATGGCAGGTGTCGGGGGGCTGGTCCTCTGCGCCGACAGGGCGCTCTCTGGGGAGACGGACCACGGTCAGGCTGGGGTCAGTCCATGTCCCTCCCTCTGTCTGGCCACCCCCACCTCACCAGCACTGCTCGGGCGTGGGGTCTGCAGGTCACCTCCGAACGTGCCGGCCTCCGCCTTGGGGGGCAGTGGTGGCCCCAGGTCCAGCGGCTTCTCATCCAGCCGGTCCAGACTGCCCTTGGACTGGGAGGGGGCGTGGTCAGTGGTGGGTAGGGCATGGGCCGGGGGTGGGGCATAACTGGGGACTCCTCCCCTGGGCTCCGGGCCCTGGGCCCCGGGCCCTAGACCATTCTCCAGAATCTACCCAATTCCTCCCGCTTCCACTTCTAGGCCCCCTCACACAGAGCTGCTTCCTGCCTTCAAGGGTCTGCCCTTTACCCCATCCCCTACCTGACCCCAGGGCCCCCACCTTGCTGCGGCCCAGGCCAGCCTTCAGCCCGTTGTCACTAAGCTTGACCTTGAGCGGGGCAGCTCGCTCCAGGAGCTCGGGCCGAAGGAAGGGTGGCTTCAGGCGAGCAGCCAGCGGCAGCCGGGGGGGCTCCGCCACGTACCTGCACCAGGGGCAGAGGGATCAGTGGCCAGGCTTATGTGGCCCAAACGCTCACCAAAGGCAAGGCTGGCCGCACCTGCCAAAGGCAGAGGTCGACCAGGCTGAGGGTCCACACCTGCCCACCCCAAACCCGGCAGAGGCCCCTTGACACCCCGTCCAGGCCTCACCGGGGTGCCAGAGGGCTGCACAGCACGTGCTCCACATTCCCATAGCAGCCTCGGGTGAAGGGGTTCACGCCCCCACGGAACTTCCCCGTCACCTGTGGACATGGGACCCCTCAGCCAGCCTGGCCACCCAGGGTCCGGGCCAAGGCGGACAGGGGGACAGGCAGGGACGGCTGGGGTTCCTCAGAGGCAGGTTGGGCAGGGTCAGCCCGTGGGTGCCCCCCGCCCATTCACCCCGACGGTCCCCGCCGGAAACTGTAGAATTTCTGGGCCCTGAGTTACTGGTGGCTGCAGTGTCCACAGGTGCGACCCCACACTCCATGACCCGCGCAGGGTCTCCAGGGCCAGATCCTCCCCCTACGGAAGCTGCACAGGCCACCTCAGCTGAGGGCTCCGGCAACCCTTCCCTGACACCACCCTGACACAGTCCTGGTGTAGCCCTGGCCCTCTTGGCCCACAGGGCCCCCCCCCACGTCTCCAACACCGCACAGGCCCTCCTAGGGTCAGCACCTGCTCATTGGTGGTACGCCCCCGAGTGACCAGCACCACGTGGAAGCCAGTGAGGCCGATGACAGGGATGAAGAAGAGGCCAGCCACACACATGACGGCCATGCTGGCCCGTTAAGGCCAATGGCCAGAGGCAAAAACACAGGGCACGTGCCTGGGGACAAACGACTCCCGCTGCCACCCAACCTGGGGACTCCCAGGCAGTCACCCCACCGCCCTGCACCTCAGCTCCCCCTGTGGAATGTGCCCCCGACCCACACTGTCTTTGCAGTCGAGCCAAGGATACGTGATGGCGGTGTGGGCAGCTCCCAGCCCCTCAGCATGGTTCAGCACGTAGACCAGGCCAAAGGCGACCACGCCCACCATGTGTGCGCTGAGTGACAGCAGGAACAGGAAGAAGTATCGGTAATTGCGGCGCCCAATGCAGTTGTTGACCCAGGGGCAGTGGTGGTCAAAGTCCTGGGCAGGAGCAGTGAGTCAGGGCACAAGGTGGGGGGCGGGAAGGGGCACGGGGTGGGGGGCACCGGGCAAAAGGGGTGGCGGGATGGTCACCTCTACGCAGTTGTCGCAGACGCTGCAGTGGGAGCAGCGAGGTGGGCGGTAGAAGTGGCAGGTTGCGCACCACTTCATACGGACCTGGATGCCCCGCACATCCACGTTCTTGTACAGCGGGGCCCGGAAGTCATCCTCCTTATCCTCGTCCTCATCCGCTGTGAGCCAGGGACGGTGGGGGGGGGGCAGGAACGTGACTCTCCTGGCAGGACAGTCCTTCCCGGATCCCTGCCAGCCCGCCCACTGGGACCCACCCCCGAAAGGCTCTCGCACGTCAGCCACTCACACTCTAGTGAAAGGGAGCAGATCACGCGCCCCAGCACAGGGCCCTACCTCGGGGGAAGACGCCAGGGTCCATGAAGGTGGCCATGCTGAAGTTGGCCAGGACAAAGAGGAAGATGATGCCATTGTAGACAGGAACAGCGGGGGACACAGCTCGAGTCAACCATGGGCACCTGCATTAGACAGCAGGGCAGAGCTGGGTCTGGGGGTGCAGCAGATGGGTGGGGATGGGGCGTGGGGACAGATGAATTAGGCATGGCCACACATAGGCAGGCTGGGCCATTGAAGGCCACCATCAGTGCTCAAAGTGGCAGTCAGGGAGGCCACTGCCACCACAGCCCCACTGGGAGACCCCTGCACATCAGCCTGCTGCCTCTCCACTCAACCATCGGGGCTGGGCACCTCGTGCCCGGTAGGTGTGCCGGCTGCCCCCACGCAGACACTGACTCCAGCAACCCTCCCGGTGCCTGTTAGGAATTCAACTCACAGTTGAAGATACTGAGGCTCAGAGAGGCCTGTGGGCCTGGGCTCCCACTTTTAGGAGGGGTGGCAGACTGGAGGCAGGAGTCCAGGATGAGAAATGAGCTCACTCTGCCTGTGTGCTATGACAGACAGAGGCCAGCCCCGGTCCTCACGCAGACCTATCCCCAGCCCAGCGGGGCCCCTTTGCCAGGGAAAATCTGGGACATGGGGAGCTCCAATTCTCAGTCAGTAAATGCATGGTGGGTGGCAGCCCTGTTTTTCTCTGAGGGGTGCAGTCTCAGGGTCTGGGCCACTGAGCACATCCGCATCTAGGAAGCCCCTTCTTTTTAGTTTGTCACCTTACTATCCATATGACAATGCAGAACACGTGGAGACTCTAGAAAAGCATGATACCCCCTTGCCACTCACCATCTCTTACTACCCCCACGCCCATGGCTCCAAGGCTGCACCCTCTTCCAGGAAGCCTTCCCAGATTCCTGGCACCCCATAAGGATCACATACACCTCCCCGGGGGGAGCTCTGCCACAGAGAGCGTCCTCTTCCGCCCTCTGGGGACCTGACCAGAGCCCTCTCTGTGGAGATCCACCCAGTCCTTGGGCACATAACCTATGGCTCCCTGTGCCAACCCTGCAGCGCGTCCCTGAGTCCGTCCACTCGGCTCCCACAAATTTCCTCTGGCCTCAGACTCCTGATCTCTCCCGTGGCTCCCAGCTGCTTTGACAAGTGGAGGGCACCTGGGGGTAGTTCCCCTCCCCATACCTAGCCCTTCTGTGGAACTGGAGGGCCAGGGGGATCCCCACCCAGTAGCCCTGACTGAGAGAACAGGGCATCGTGGCCTCTGGCAGGGCGAGCAGTGCCCACGGCCTTGCCCACCGCCCCAGTGCACGCCGGCCACGCTGGCGCACCCACGCCTGTCTTGGCCAGGAGCCAGCCCCGCCACCCCAGCAACCACCTCCATGGCAGCAGAAGTTCGCTATTTTTAGTGGAAAGCAAGAGGCTATTTAAAGACTCCACTTCCCACGGCAGCAGGCTCGGCGGCCAGGAGCCGCAAGTTACCCGTTCTTCTTCTCCAGGACCTGCTGTGGAGGAAGATGCACTCCCTGAGGACACAGGTTCCCTCCGCGGGGAGGGCCTCCCCCCACCACCCCCTGCCCAGGCAGCCCAGGGTGCCCACCGGTGGATGACTTCCACATTCCCCATCCCTGCGTGCTAAAGCGTGGCATACAGATGGTGCTCAACATATGCTGCGGTCTCCGACCCAATCCCATCCAGCAAGGTGCTGGCGGGCCCCTGAGGCATGGTCTGCCTGGCAAGGCGGGGTGGGAGGCAGAGGCCAAAATGCCAGCGGGGATGGGCTCTCCAGGCAAGTAGGAGCTATCAGCTCAAGAGAAGCAGGAGCTGGAAAGAAGTGGGGGGCTGCGGGCCCCGCGCAGGTGGGGCACGCCAGCTCCCCATGGCACCCTCTGGGAAGGGCGGGCTATGTAATCCACACAAAATGAAAATGCGGGCCCGGTGTTTAAAAAGTATCAAGAATTCCAAGACCACGACAGCAGAGCATTAAAGGCAAGGGTGGGCTCTTGTGCACCTGCATGGCCCGCACCAGTGGACCCAGACTGCTCCGCAAAGGGAGGAGCTCAGAGGTCCTGCGCTGCACTGGGGCTAGCAGGTGTGCACACACAAGGTGCAGCAGGTGGGTGGGCACTGCCGGCAAGAGAACACGGCACCGGGGGAGGAGGGGTGGTCAGAGGATCCAGCCTGGCTGTCCAGGCTCTCCCAGGGGATACTGAGAGCCTGTTGCCCTCCGGCCCTGTGCAGTGAACCACAAAATCTGCCCTTCCAGCTGCAGGGAGTGGGTGCTTCTGTTTCCCTGTTTTACAGACAAGGAGTGGGTACAGGACGGCTTGTCACATACCAAGACCTTGGGGTGAGATTCAAGCTATTATGCAGGCAGGCTGGGATTGAACCCCACAGGCAGTCCCCATACCCGCACTGACTGGAGTCTCCCCTGGCCCAGGTAGCCTGTATGCTTTGTCCTCCCTGAGCCTCAATGACCTCCCCCCACCCTCATGCTGTACGGGCTGGACAGCTGCCCCGAATGAGATGCCTAGGGCTACAGGGGAGGGGGGGGCGACACCTGCACAGCAACGGGGCCAAGTTTGGGAATCTGCAATGTGACAGGGCAACGTCTGCATTGAGGTGGTGGGCAGCCTCTGTCCACTACAGGCACCACCTCTCTGCATGCCTGGGCCACATGTACCAGGGAGAGTGGCCTGGGGCCTTAGCTGGTGTTGGGCAGGCTTGCGGGGGTTGGGGGGGGCGGGGACCAGGTTCTCTAACAGGGACCTAAGCCACTGCCCCGTCGGCCCACCATCACCAGGCCCCCAGGCTCGATTCAGACCCAGGATCAGGCCCTCCCATGCATTCCTGCCCCCCTCATCCTCCCTCAGGAGGCCTTTACGCCCAGGCCATGCCGGAAGGAGGGTCCAAGCCTGGGTCATGCCTAATGAGGACCGGCTCCCTGGCCAGAGCCAGCAGGCACATGCAGACACATGTCCCCATGAGCATGCAGGGACACATGTGCAATGCACACACAGACACACAAATATGCTCCAGGACACACATGTATGAACACATGCCTGGATATGCGTGTACACAGACACATGTGCATACATGACCACATTCAAAAGGCACATGTACATGAGCACACACCAACACGTGTTGACAAGACACACGTGCATAAATGTTTGCGAGAACAGACCTGCCCACTTGCACACACACACACACACACGGCCACACAGGCACACCTGCGCCCTCGTTCATGCACAAACACACTCATATGCACATACGAACACACACAGACATGCCCTTCCTCAAGCTGACCCCCTATGTTCTCTCTGTTCCCCGTGGACCAGGCAAGCGTGAGGACATGTGAGGACGTGCCAGCTCTGTGGGCAAGGCGTGGCAGGCAGTCCTGCTCAGTCCACCTTGAGTCTGTCCCAGGCTCCAGGAGGGCCCCTCTGCCCACAGGGACATCACTCCATTCCCACCCAGGGGATGGTATGCTCCAGGCAGGGGTTGGCCACCCCTTGCTGGCTGCAGCCATGCTGTGGGGCCCAGGGCGGGCCTGCGTGGGGGGCCGGCCCAGTTCTGAGGCTGGAAACCCTCCTCCCTATCCAGCCCCCGCCTCCTGAGTGTTAGGGCCACACGCCAGTGCCATGGGCCCCACCCAGATTGAGGCCCCAAGTCTGCCTAGCCGGGCAGGGAGACACCACTCAGTGGGGGTGGGCGGTTCTGCAGGGCCAGTATGCACGCCACAGCTAAATGTGGAATGGAAAATTTTAACTCAGACGTTTTCATTTAAATCGGGTTCTTCATTAACACTGTTTGTGTCTAAGAGTGATGCTCACACATGGGGGCACCTGGGACCAGAGGGTCTGTGGCCACTCTGCCCTGGTCAGGCTAGGTTGGGGCCTCTGTCCTCCTGTACCCATCCCATCCCTGCAGACACCTGAGCAGATGGGGAAACTGAGGCTCAGGCGGCCAAAGATACGGTAGGCCACAGGCAGTGAGGCCTGGCAGGGGGCTCGCCCCAAGTTTCCTTCCTTCCCATGTGGCCCCTGCCAGGGGCTCTGTCCACCTGGGCCTCCGCTTCCACCATCCCATGCTGGGCCTTCCAGCCTGTCTGGGCCTCTGGGCACGGGGAGGGCTCAGGCCCATCCTGGGGACAGACTGTGACGTCCCAGAAGTCAGCCCCCTGGTCCTGGACAGAGACAAGATGGCCCAGCTTGGCCCCAGGTGTTGGTAACCCAAAAGCAGCCGTAGCTTTCTGATGTCTCCAGGTTCCCTGTCATTCTGCAAAGTGGCTCTGGGAGGAGGAAGGGGCTGAGGTGGAGACCTGGCCTGGGGGCTCTTGGAAACACACTCAGCACCTGACCCAGCCTGGCATTGAGCCACAGTGTGAAGGGCTTCTGGGGCCCAAGGGGACACGACTGTACCAGGAACCCAGGAAGGCTTCCTGGAGGAGAAGGACCTCTGGGAACCTGCCCTTCAGTATGTTCCCCATTCTCTGAGGGAGATGCTCTGACCTCTGGTGATCCTACCCACCCCCCAGCCTCTCCTGGTAACATGTCTGAATATCCTGCTCGTCCCAGGCCCCTCAGTGAGCTGGGCCGAGGAAGGGGTCCTTGATCTTCTAGGCTCCTGGCTCCCCACCCTGCACGAAGTCAGGAGCTGCTGTCTGCACGGACCTGCCCCAAAGGGGGCAGCTCATGTTTACTGAGCAGAGAGGGGGCCTGGGGCCATGCAGCATCCAGTGAAGTACAAGGGGTAAAGGCAGAGAAGAGAGAACCCCATGGGCGCCCCAAGGGCAGGGTGGAGAAGACACAGGAGTGGGCTGCTCCCTCCTCACTACATGTCTAAGTCTGCAGCAGGCCTGGACCCAGAAAAAGGGTAAAAGTGTGGGTGCTAGGGTGACCAGAGGCCTATCCCAAGGAGGGGACCACCAGGACCCCTGCTTGCCTGGAATTCGGCACACTGTGAATAGTGTCAGTAGGCCTGGTTCGCCCTGCAGAACCCCTTTTCAGGAACCCAGTTGCTTTGGAGGACCCTGATGGAGCCAGGGTCAGGGTTGGCCAGGGTCCCCAGTGGCCTTTTGGCCCGGGGAATGTGGCCTCAGCAGTTCAGAGGAGCCCTGCCCTAAGGGTGATCAAAGCTTCCTTGGCTAGATGGTGACTGCCCCTAGCCCCCAGCTGGTGCCCCTGCACCCCCAGCTTGCTGCAGAGGCACATGCCACCTTCTCTCAGGCAGAGTGGGTCACACACAAGGCAGGACACAGGGAAAGGCATGCAGTGCCCTGAGGGAACCCTGCCCCTTGCTGGGCTGGTGTCCCTGAATCCAGAATCTCAGCTCTGAGAACTGACGAAGGAAGAACTTGGCAGGGTGCAGGAGCCTCAGTGCCCACATCTTGGGATGGTCAAGTTCATAGGACAGCCGTGTAAGGGCTCTCTGAAACCACAGCAAGGACTTATGACAAGCATGCTACAGAGGGGCTCAGGTGAGCATAGGAGGAGAGGAGAGGAGACAGGAAGACTCCCTGGAGTAGGGTTGATTTCAATTCTTTAAAGATTTATTTCCCTGCATTTCACAAGTTCTTGAAAGAGAACACGTATTACTTTCAATGTCAGGGAGGAAAAACACTGAATTGCACTTCAGGAGTGAGAAACCAGGATCAGCAAGTGGACGCCAGGCTACCCCGAAGCACACCTGAGTCCAGGTGTGGGGGACCCCAGGGCCAGGACTGAGCTAAGCCCCACCCCTCCAGAAGACCCTGCACTCGCTGCCCACCTGTCCCTCTCCTCTCTGCCCCACAGCCAGCAGCATCTGAGTAACAAGAACACGCCTGCTTGCCAAAGCCAGAAATAAGCCCGTCCACACAGGCCTTTTTTAAACACGCTTTTGGCAGCCTGTGGCGCCCACCCAGCCCCGGCCTCCAGGTAGGGAGCTCTTGCGCCTCCATGGGCACCTAATGCAGACTCGCCATCCTCACAGCTGCTACCCTCACTCTTGCTAAGGCGAAGGATGCCAAGCCGGCTCCCGCTCACCCCTGCTCCAAGCTCATTCACACTCGGGCTGACCTGCCTCGGAACAGAGACCCCGCGGGCTGGGGCCATTTGCAACAACACCTCCAGTTCCCAGGAAGGCTTGGGCAGTCATTGCTCTAGTCACCTGGGCTGTTTCTCAGCATGGGACTTGTGGAAGCGGGTGGTCCCAGATCTGCATGGCTGAAGCCTGGAACTCCCACCCCTCCTTGTACCTGAGGTGCCCCACAGCCATGGTGTTGCCCGCAGGCTTATGTGTGAGCCAGCCTGTCTCCGATGAAGAAGTTATGTCTGCATGGGCTCAGGGCCTTGCCTGCCCTCCGCCTCAAGGGTCCCAGTGCCCAACATGGCCGGTGTCCCTGGGTGAGGCCTGGCCTGGGCCCTCCAGCTGCGACCCCAAGCATTCCTAAGAAGGTCAAGGGAGGGTGTAGGGAACTGCCAGGCCAGCATCAAGGGTGGCTTTGGGGCAGGCACGTGGCAGCCTGGCCAGGCCACACCTACGCGGGAACAACTTGGCTCTGGCCCTGGGCTGGACAGCCAGGAGGGGACCCAAGAGCCACCCTCAGCTCCTTGCTGGAGGGGCTGGTGGCTCTCAGCAGCCCACATCGCCCTTTGTGCAGACTGTGGGGAGGGGAGAGCTGCAGCCACACCCTGGGCAGGCACTGCACACACTCCCCTATTTGGGCCCAGCAACTGACACCCAGGGCCTGGCACACTCGTGAGGTGCCCGCCAGGCACTAGTGTCCCCCCCACACGGAGAACTCACCTGTCCCTGGTGCCCCAGTATAGGCACACTCACTGTTTCTGCCTCAGCCCAGGTGGGGGACTCACGTCACCCACAGCCCTGGTGCCAGCCTGTCATGCCCAGTCCTCCCGGCCCCTGCCCCCCTGCCCTGCCCCGCCCGCGGGCCTTGTCCCCCAGGCCGGCCAGGCTGCAACCCCCGCTGTACTGGCCCCTGCCCCTTCTGGCCCGGTTGTGGCTGCCTGTGCCCCCACCCCCGGTGACGCGGGGGACTCACGTGAACACGAAGAACAGGGTGCTGGAGCCGACCAGCAGCGCGGCGGCCGTGGCCACCGGGATGTACTTGGCGGGTTTGAGGCGCGTCCCGGGGCTGCGGGGCATCCTGGGCGCCGCGCCGCCGCATCCCTCCCCGGGGCCGGGCGGGCGGGGCCGGCCGGGGTCGGGCCGGGGTCGGGCGGGGCGGGCTGGACGCGGCGCAGGACCGGCGGCGGCGGCGGCGGCGGCGGCGGCGGCGGCGGCGGCGGCGGAGGAAATCCCACCCCACGGGTAGCGGCGGCGGCGGCGCGCTGATGTCAGCGCGCCCCTTAAGGTGGACCGGGCGGCTAGGCGGCGGGGGGCGGGGGGCGGGGCCGAAGGCGGGGCGGAGCTGGGACCCCTTGCGGCCGCGCCCGGCCCCCGCCCCGCCCCACGCCCTCCTCAGGAGGGAGCCGGGTCCGGGAGCCGGCCAGACTGGGGAGCCGCCGAGCCCCCCCTACCCCGGGCCCCGCTGGCGCTGGCGTCTGGCGCAGCGTTCAGAACCCTGGGCCGGGCGCGGCCCCTCCTCGCCTTGGTGCCCCGGCCAGGCGAGTGCCCGCGGCACTCTGAGGCCACGGAGCCGTCGCCGCGCACCTGCAGTCCTGGCCCTCCGGCGGACACCGCGGAGAGCGCCAGGCCCCCTGTTCCCAGCCCGCAGACCCTGGCGCTGTGGCATGTTGGTCCCCTCCCGGGCCTCTGGTTACACAGCCCTTTCCCTTAACACCTCGGAGCCTGTCCCTGGGGTCAGGTTGATGTCCCTGCTCCATGCTATTCCCGAACAGGGCCAGACCCCTCTCATCTGGAGCTCCCCTGGCATTCATGGGGGTGGGGAATTTGTGACACTGTAGGGGCCCCGTCATTGTTTATCTCTTGCCCATCTCACAGCCCTCGGGCCCCTCCACTGGACCGAGTCCAGGTAGTGGTCAGGGTAAGGAGGGCAGGGGGCGCTGGATTCTCGAGCTTCCGGGCCCAAACTGCAGGTTTGGGAGTGTGTGTAGGTGGGGGAGCTAGGGTCTGGTGAGCCCCTCAGCTTCCCAGAGGCAGGGTGGAGTGCCCCGCGGAAGCACGGGGCATCCTGCCCCTGCCTGGGATAGGCCTGTGGGCAGGCCCACCTCCTGCAGGAAATCCCACCCGCTAGCTCCACGGCCGCTGCCTGCTTAAGGTGGACCTGTGCTTTTGCAGTGCCTGGCTGCAGTGTGGACAGAACAGGCCGAACAGCCAGGCAGAGCAGTGCAGAACCTCTGGGAGGCTGGGACCTGGGTCAAGCTCTGAAGCCTCCACAGTGAGGACCAGCAAATCTCTGTTCCCTCCAACATAGCCCCAGGGCCCTCTGCTCGGAAACCAAGACCCATCAGCACCCTCCCCAGCTGGGAATCCCTGTGGAGGGGTCCTCACCTTCCTTGGCCCTAGGCACCTGCTCCTCTAATGGCCAGAATCCCTTGCTGCCCAAGGGCCACTTTCTCAGGCCATGTTGCCACAGGCCCTGGGGCTCCTTGGCCTGGAAGCCCCTCCCTGCCTGTATGTGGGCTGCTGTGAGCCATTAAAAAGACCCTGGGCTGGGGGCCAGAACTGGGGCATTAGTACAGCTGCTTGACAAAAGATCCGGTCATGGGCTTTTTCCTGTAACGCTCCAGTTGTAGCCTCTGCCCAGTGCGGAGCCCACGTTAGGGGGCCCAGCACAGAGTTGGGGGGCACCCTAGCACTGTGTGGCAGGCTCGGGGCACAAGGGTAAGTGAAGAGCATACACCTCCTTACCTCTGCCCATGGTGCCTCAGCCCTCTCATAGCCTCAGTGCCTAGAGATGCAAGGTCCAGGGTCCTCACAAAGACTCCAGTCAAAGCATGCCCCACCCAGGGCTTTGCCATTGCTCCTGCCCTTCTGCAACCCAGCACTGGGACCGCAGGCCCCTGGAAGCTTCTGGATGCCAGCCCACCCATGGAGAGCCTCCCCACAGGCTCCCAAATGGTGACTCAGGCCCAGGTCTGACTCCAGGTCTGTGTAGGGGCACCAGGACAGCTGAGAGCTGTAGAGTGAGTGCCAAGCACTGGTCAATGAAAGGAGTGCTTGGTGCCTCCTTGGTGAGGTCCCTGCAGACTTCCTGGGCAGAGGAGAGTCCTGGGTTGGGGGAGGAGAGAAGAGCAGGGGGAGACCCAGGGAGGCCTCCGGCCCAGGAGTCCTCCCCCGACTTAGGAGTTAAGATCCCTGGGAAAAGGAAAGCAGAGCGGAAAGCTTGCCCAGTGGACTGACCTGGAACAGAAAGGTGTATCATCTTACTTCTCACTCCATCCGCAATACCATCAGCACCTCAGTTATGGCTTACCATTGCCTCTGTGCCACACAGGGAGGAACCCACCTGAAAACACACTGGCTGAGGGGTATGGGAGAGGCCCCTCTGGCATCCCTGCTCATCCCAGTGGGACGGAATGTCAGGACTGCACGTCTCCCTTTCGGCACCATTCTGCAGTGTCAGCAAGCCACCTGTAACATAGCCTGGTCACAGCACAGCTCTGTTCTCCAGCCATCTTGAGGGGCCTACCCTGCTGTCAGCATTTTCCCCCCTTGGAGACACAACTCATCACCCAAGAGGAAAGAAGTCAGCCTGGGGTTTCACATCAAGTGGGACTACCTTGTATTGAGCCCAAAGCAAAAACAATGTTCAACAACCATTCTGTACTAAGTAAAAGGGGTGTCTGACTGTCCTTCCCTGAAGGATCAAGCAGGGCCAACCTTTCATACGTCGATGCATCCAACAGAGGCCCATGGGGAAGCAACACCTGTCCTTTACACCAAAATTCCAATTCATCAGGATGGGCAAGGTACACAAGCTTCAATGTCCCTTCTTGGCGGGAAGGGCTTCTATGCCAACACTGACTTCAAGAGCACCCAGACCTGTGCCCTAGAGGCCTAAGGCTGCCAGGACACAACACTGCTGGCCAGTGAGGTTTTCGGCAGTGTCCTTTGGAGGTGCTTCCCCCAGAGGGAACAAGGACCCGAGGTTTGGAACCAGACACAGGTCACACAACACACAGCACACTGGGAGGTCAGACAGAGCAGGGCCCAGCTGGTAGACTCTGGCCACACTGTAAAACACCTCCAGCAGGTGTTAATGACCAACAGCCAAGGGAGAGTAATCCACTCCAGGGCCAGGTCCAAACTTGCTCCTCCCCCGCTGGAGGGCAGTATGGCCACACTCTGCAGCCCCGTTGGCCTCCCAGGACACACGTTACCACGTGCAACCCTGTGCTTTGAAAAGCCTGCTGGTGCACCAAAAACCCTTCTCCCCCCATTTAGGACAACGTTCAGACACAATTTGTTTTATAAGATGAACCCCTAAATGGCACCCATTTGCATTCGAAAACATCCGTTTATATTTAAAGCTATTGCAGATGTCCACAATTCCACCCAGATGGGAGATGCCACAGGTGAGCGGGTAGGGCAGTTTTCTCTGAGGATGGCAGTGGGGTATCCAAGGAGGGCTGTGGGCCAAGTACCCCCTCACACATTGCACCAGACTGGGCAAGTGTGCCAGGGGACTGGCCTTTCCCTCCGCCAGGGCGGAGGGCCAACCAAACGCGGCCTTGGCCAAAGCCTAGAAACCCACTTGGCCTTCCTGTGTGAAAAGCCAGGGCACTCTGGTGGTCTTCCTTTCCCTCCCACCCCTGAAGCAAAAAACAAAGCAAGACACAACAAAAGCCTACCTACTCCTTGCCACAAGGCAGAAGCACATGGCCACCCCACCTCAGACACAGCACAGCCCCAGGGGCCAACAGCAGCCCCAAGCCCAAGGCTAAGCCAGTGGCGGCGAGTGGGTCCCGCAGCACTGCCCCGACACCCCGGAGCCATCAAGCACCCACAATGCTCCCAGGACGGGGCCGGCGCATACACGGTCCTGCCCTCCATGTAGGTTTCGAATTTGTCGTTTATTCACTATTTTTGATGACTATAAATAAGTGTTTCCACTATGGAAAAGAAAGTGAGCACAGTACATTTTCATGACTGGGGAATGGATTTTCTGAAGTCTTCTTCAATAGGGCAAAAACTTAGAAAAAAACAACCTGAATGTTGGAATTCAGTTCTTTATATAAAGTCCCTTGTAAAAACAAAACAGAATAAAAACAAACTGAAAAGAAGGAGCAGGGCAAAATTTAAAAAAAAGAAAAAGGAGGAAAAAGAACGGAAGGAAGAGAAAACAAGGGGAGGCGGCTTATTGCTCCTCCTCCGCTCCAGCCTTGCTCTCGGTGTCTTCCGACTCCTTGCTCTCCTCCTTCACGGAGAGAGCTTCTAGCTTCTCGGTCACCTTCTCAGCATCGTCGTTTTTGCCCGACCCTGCTGAGACATAGGGGGACGCAGTAAGAAAACCATGAAGCACCGTTCTCTGCAGCCCAGCCCACCTCCTGTGGCCCTGGGCCAGGGCCGCAGGACAGGCCGCTTCACCACGTGCTGGCCAAGCCAGCCTCCAGGGGCACACAAACGAGTTAAGAGCTCATGCCTGGGACGGGAATCAGGGAGCTCAGTTAGGTCAGGTCCCTTACTAGGGCAGCCATCGTCGGGCCCCAAGCAAGCAGGTGACTGCGAGGACTTCAAGGCCCCTTCAGCCGTGGACTCTAGCCAGACATCGTTACATGACCACCTGGCTGGGTGCTGTGAGGCCAGGCCAGGGAGCACTTGCTTGGGGCCTTGATGGCCAGCTCACTCCCCAAGAAGTACCCTGTGTCCCCAGACGGCTGTATCACCCTTGACAGGTCGAGGTGGTCACAGCACCCTGGGATGTTTCTGTGGCAGACGGAAAAAGCACCCGCCTGGGGCTGCAGCCGGATGCAGAGTGAGTCTGCAAGGAAGTCCCCTACCCACGACACCATGTCACCTTTCTTTTCTCTCTCTTCGATCTCTTTCCTGCATTCTTCAAACTTTGTTTTGAATTTCTGTGCATCTGTGGAAAGAAGAGACTTCCTAAGATCCCTGAGCAGTGAAGGGGACACGTCCTAGAGGTCTTAAGAGTCAAGATTCACAAATGGCTCATCCCATGGCCAATATGGACTTAAGGACACAGCCCTGGACTCACTCTTACTCAGAGCAGTAACTGTTTCTCGAGTCCCTCCTGAGACCGGTGGCTATGATGGACTCCCTCCGTCTGACATTGTGACAATCTGGGCAGAGCAGTACATGGTCCTGGCGGCCGTGCACAACCAAGGGCAGGAGCCTCCCTGCCAGGCACGTCAGAGTAGCCGCTAGACGAGGCCCACTGGGCACTTCTGACAATCGGGGCTGGAAAGCGACAGGCCTGCCCCAGGGTAGACTGAATGCCCAGACCCCTTTGAGGTTAAAACGGAAAAGACCCTGCTCATGGCCTCAAAGCCCAGATGAGGCCTCGTTGGCACACGGCTCAACTGCAGGGCTTGCATCCCTCCCCCAAGGGACCACCAGACAGCACAGTGGGACCGGTCCCTACCACACACTTCCCAGGCACGACCAGTTCTCCCTGCAAAGCTACACTGTCAGACAGGCGGCTGCAGTCAGGCAGTCCCCGGGGCCCGGCACCCTTCTTACTTTCAGCATTTAGGAAGCGGATGGCCAACAGCTCTGGCTTGGGGCACTCGTCGGCAAAGTCAGCGTGGGTGTTCCAGACCCAGGCACGGTCACTGCCCGCATTCGGCTTCAGTTCCATCATCGGCGTGACTGGGGAAGAGGAGCCAAGTGAGAGTTCTGTCAACTGCAGCGAGGCCACCCCGCCAAAAAAGGCCCTGGTTGCCAACACAAGGTCCCACTTTGGGGTCCATCAACCAGGCCTAAACGAAGTCCCATGGGATAGGGATCTTAAACATGTTTCTTTGCAAATACCTCGTGTCCACTTAAAACCAAGACTGTCCTAGATCTGGAAACAGGGCAGCCTGCTCCCTGACCCGAGACCTCAGCGAGCGTTCTCCAATTCCACTGGAACAAGGGCTCCACACCAACAGAGCCGCTCATACCTAGCCCTTCCTGTGGGGCACCTATCCCGTGGCTGTGTCCACACTTGGTCACACCATCAGAGACCTGGCCCGTCGGGAGGTGGGGGACAGGAACCGTAAGCAGGGTGACCCCCCCAGGAGGGCACAGGGTCGGACCAGGACAACCACTCTGACATTGTTCAGGGACTTGGGGGACGAGGCCACCAGAAGTGGACACCGTGGGGCTTGTGATACACATCATGGAAGACAAACCTATGACCTGGAATAAGCACAGCCACCCCGGGGGTCCTCAGGCTTTGCGCAGCCCCAATGGTGGAAAAGGGAGACAGACTGCGCAAAGAACAAGAGCACCCCCCGCTCCGCACCTACCGGTGTGCCCCTGTAGCCCTGGCAGAGGTCTCCAGGGACGTGGGCCAGCCCACGCCCAGCCCCAAACACATGCGACCATCTGAACTGGGACCAGTCACACCATCCCCATGGAGACATGGGGCAAGCCCTCGAGCTGTACAGGGCACAGAGGCACCGCTGCCTCCTCCTGCCACCACCCACCTGATGCTTCAAGGGGTCTGCGGTATGTACCAGGCCCAGACCCACCTACAACTTGGAAAACAACCCAGTGACCTGACAAGGCTCTAGAAGAAGCACAGGGTGTCAGGAAGACCCCTGGGGAGCGATTTAAAGTGGAGTGGAGGCCAAGGGCCAGAGAAGACAGGTGGGGGTGGTGGGGTTCACGAGAGGATACCTCAGCGGCCTCCTAAGGAAGGGCATGAAAGGGGCGCCTGGGTGGCTCAGTTGGTTAAGCATCTGCCTTCGGCTCAGGTCATGATCTCGGGGTGCTGGGATGGAGCCCTGCGTCGGGCTCCCTGCTCAGCGGGGTGTCTACTTTTCCCTCTCCCTCTGCCCCACACACTCGCGCTCGCTTGCGCTCTCTCTCAAATAAATAAAATCTTAAGAAAAAAGGAAAGAGATGAAAGCCCCTCTGCACCACCCCTCAGGACCTCTGCAAACCCGCCCATCCTTCCACATCACCCTCAAGGGCTGTTCTGCTCAGGTTCCTGCCTGGTCACCCTGTGTGCCCAGATGAGGGGCTCTGCCCTGCCAGACATGCATTCTACCCAGTAACGCAGACATGGCATTGGATCAGGAATGCAGCCCAAAACACATCTGCTTCCCAAGACACACAGCACTGCAGGACAACCCAGAAGCCAAGAGACTGTTATGGTGGGGAACTTACTGTTGCCCCTTCACAGGCCAGGCCTGAGGGGGCTTTTCCCAGACCCCACCCCCATCCCCACGATGTTAAGCCCAAGGATGATGCATCACACCTGTCCAAAGGCCTCAGCTTGTCACCACCCACTACCTGTTCAGTCTCACAGGCACAAGGATAGGTAGCCACCTTCTCCCCCCACCCTTTTCCTTTCTGTGTTCCTCAGGGGACACCCTGCAGGGACAAAACACACTGAAGAGTGGGAGGGCTTCCTACTGGGCACATCAAATATATATGGGAGCACATGTCCTCACAACACTGCCCAGTCCTCGGGCAGGCACATCATGGTCCCAAGCCCACACTGGGGCTCTCTGTCCACCCCATCATGTCCTATCTGCCTGGACTCCACACCCCGTATGCCGGAAGTTTCTCTGAAAGTCTGCTCCGAGTTCAGAGCATGTGGGAACACCTCATTTCCTACTTTAAGTTCAGAAAACACCACGACGAATATGCACCCATGTCACAATGCACTCCCAGGCTCCCAGTGCAGCACTGAAGGCAACCTGCCCAAAGACCTGAAGCATTCTCGTGTGGGACTCGGCGTGAAAACAGTCCCCAGAGGCCACCTACTATAGTGGTTGGCGCATATCTTCAGGGTCTTGTCCCTCCTCATAAGGAGGCGGATGGTCCCTTTCTCCTTATGCTTCAGAAGCTTGACGTCACCAGTGCCTCGTTCCTTCCATTCTGGGAGATCATTCTCTGAAGCGAATCGGAATAGCTTTGCCCGCCTTCAAGAAAAGCCATTAAGAGAGAGCTTAGATGGGCAGAGAGAGAAATAAGTAGTCAAACATTGGCTTGGAAAAAACACTTGTTTTCTGTGCACTGAACAGATAGCTGTATCTGGCGTCTCCACAGACGCCTTTTCCTTTCTTTGCGTTTCGAGGACTATTAGTCCAAAAATTACCAAAAGAGCAAAACAACAATAAATTTCAAGTTACGAGATGAGAAAGAAAAGAAATTTCCAACAGAAAGACCCAACTGCTCAGCAAAGATACCGCCCTGAGTACACTGGGCTTGCCCGTGATCACAGTGCAGGGGAGCCCCTGGTGTCCCATAGGGCCACAGGGGTAGCATGGAAGCAGACGGAGGTCAAGGACCCCTGCCCTCCAAAGGACCAGCCCTTCCCTCTACTGTGAGATGCCCCCTTTGCTTCCCTGGCCCCCCAACCCAAAGAGGTGGCTGTAGACCTCTGCTCAGGCCGCCAGGCTCTGGCCCAACACCCTGCCTTCCTGCACAGAACAGCACCTCACATTGGGCCCAGCCAAGGCCCCCACACAGGCAGGCACCAAAGCCCCCATGGTGAGCCCAGCAGTCCTGCCTTTAGGACTTTGGCTGATGCCCTCCATTCCCTTCCCCACCCGACCCAAGCCCTGCTGGTCCATTTTCTGCATAACACTCTGCTCTCTCCCCCAAGCTCAATTCTGTTAAGGGAGACAGTGCCCTCACAAGGATGCCACCAAAGCTTTCACCTGGAGCTCAAGGGCCCAGACGCAAAGGCCTGACCTGCTGGCCTCACTTCCCTCAGGAAGGGCCTGTGTCCAGGAAAACAGAGATGTGAAGAACCAGTGTCTTCAGGGACACGCCCACCACTCTCTGAGACCAAAGGGATGTATGTGACTCTCCCTATCCAGACCTCTGGGAGTGGTGGGAAGGGGCTGGTCTCCCCAGTCTGCCTTCCTTAGAGGGAGGGGTCACTGTTCCTGCCCCCCCGCCACAGGAAAGCACTCAAACCCTCATCTGGCTTCTTGGATAGAATCTGAAGGGGTGTGGGGGAACTCCACAAGCTTGGACGGGAAAAACACTCCAGCCTATTTCCATTAACTTGTAACAGAGCCTAGTGTTTCCTGTGATTCTGAGTATAGGCGACGGATCAGTCTCGGCAGCACTGATTTTGTCACAAACATCTCAACACATGGCTGGTGCCAGCGCTACTTAAAAATGTCCCTTGCCATTGTAGCTTCTCACTGAAAGTGTCAAAAAACATGTGTAGAATAATTCTTAGAAAGTAATCTTGGTAAGCATAACACCACCTCTTTTCACTTATAATTCCAGGTGTTATTTTGTGCGTTAAAAACACTGAATCGGGAGCTTACAAACTTCAAGATGCCAGTCTATAGTGCAAAAAAAAATAATAATAATAATAATAGTAGAGACTCCCTGTTCAACCAGAGGAAGGGTGCCATGGGAGTTTTTGAGGTAAAAAAGGGGTAACAAGCCTGTAAGGCAGCAAGGACAGGGAGCTGTGGAGATGCACCTTTGTGGACAGAGCAGCAGGGACAGGACACCAGGGAGCACCTGTGCTCTCCAGAGCACTGGCCACCAGAAGCAGGGGCACCCAGGGAAGAGTTAACCAATGAATAGATTCTAACAGCAGCCTTAATTTCCACGTAGGATTAGTCATCACACAATTCCAAGCCCTTTCTTTAGCCTCAGTCCAATTAAAAGTCAGGCCAAGACCTTGACACCCATAAAAACCGTTAACTTCAATCTTACACTAAAGATTCCTATGTCTGGAGCAACATGAGCTTACTTACATTTTAAAAAGTTCTTCTTCATCTTCTTCCAGCGTTTTAATTTCCTGCTCGGGAAGAGAAACTATAGGCTCAAACTGGGGATCGTGGTTGGACTCATCTGCATTCTCAGTGGAGGTGTCATGGTCCTCATGGGTGTCCTGTGGATTGAGGTGCAGAGAGGTGACTCTGCTGGCCCTAGTGCCCGGCCCCCACCCAGAGCTCAGCAGTGCCTACAGTGGGCAATCCCTCCTAGTGAACAGCCTCATCCCAAAGCAAGAGATTAAGCCCACAGTCTTTCACACAAAGAAAGGTCTGCACCCACATTCAGAGTGCAGTAGGATGCTGAACTTCAGCACCCTCCCCAGATGCATCAATCATATGTGTGGACAGTCGGACTGGGGCCCCTAAAGTTGGGCGCCCTACTGGCCAAAGAGACACTGCCTCACCACTTTGCACCTCAGTTTCCTCACCTGTAAAATGTTGATAATGACAGTGCTAAGTGAAGATTAAAACACATGCTGACGGAAGAGAGCTTCAAGGAGAGTGCCACCCTTTGATAATCAAAAAGCAACCCTTTGAATTTTTACTGGTTGAAAAAAAATCAGTGCTCTTGTTTAGTAGAAAGCAAAAATGTTACTACACAACTGTTAGTATTTACATGAAATTCACAGTTCTGTCAGCAATTTTATCTTACATCAGAAAGCTGATGCGTCCACAGAAATCGTACAAATAAGAGCTGAAAAATTCTGATCCAGTTTAGAAAACTACAGGGCACAATGGATCATATTTTAGGTTCAAGTCTTACAAAACACGTGGTCTGGTGATCTGTAGTCCATAAAAAGCTGGGAAACTTCACTACCAAACTCGAGCCAAAAAAGAACATACAGAAGATTTCGTTGCTTTCCTTGGCTGGACAGCACTGCGGCTCCGCCGAGGCCAGCTCAACCCGAGCAGATGCCCCGCAGTCAACAAAGCCGCCCCCTCCCTGGGTCGGTGCGGCCACGACCCGACCACCCGGCTAGAATGCGAGCTTCCGCGACAGAGGCCTGTGGCGGTTCAAAACGTGAGAACAGAATGAATGAAGTGCTGCGTAGGCGACGGCAGGAAGGGACGCACGGTTTTGGTGGGAAGCCTGCAAGTGGGCCGAGCCGGAGGAAACCGGCCACCCGCCCCTCATCTCAAGCGAGCGGCAAAGTGAACTAGAGACCAAGAAGCCTGGGCGGCGGGCCGCCCCACGCCCGGATGGAGCTCCCGGCCCCACCTGGGACCGCCCCAAGGTCACGCGGGCGCCCCGCAGCCCCCAAGCCCGCGCTCCCCCAGGCATCGCGAGTCCTGGCCCCGAAGGCCCCAGGCCGCGCTCCCCAAAGCTCCAACCACGCGCCACTGAGGCCCCGCAGGCACCGAGCCCGCAAGCCAGCGGGGGTTGGCGGCGGCGGCGCGGGCCGCCCACGTGGCCGCCAATAGCGGCCTCGGCCTCCCGGCCCCCACCCAGTCCCCGCCCGGGCCCGGCCGCACCTTGGCGGCCGCCATGGGGGCGCGGCGGCGGCGGCGGCTCGGTTGGCTCGGTCGTCGCTGGCTCCGCGGCCTCTCGGCGGCTGGTCGTAGCTCCTCTCCTCCGCGTCTGGCGCCGGCGCCTCCCGCCCTCTCGCTCTTCCCTCCGCCCCGCGACCCGAACCCCGACCCCTGACCCCGGCGGCGGGAAACGCGACGCGATTCAAAACCAGTGCAGCTTTATTGGCTCACACTGCGGACACTCTCATTGTCCAGCCCGCCCCGCGCTTCCCGCCAAAACGCCCGCGGCGCATGCCCGACCCGCCCGGCAGCCAGGGGAGCGTGCCCTCCCGGCGGCCCTCGCGCGCACTTCCGCCCCGCGGCGGCGCGCACCCCTCGGGCTCTCGAAGGGACAGGGGATCGGAACTGGCGCGTGGTGATGACGTCACCGGAAGCCAGGATGATAGAGACGCACGGCCTCGGCTGCACGCGCTGGCTGACGGGAGCGTGGCGAGCTAGGCGAGTGGCCGGCGCGGGCCCCTGGCGGGCGGGCGGCGTACCCCATGCCGGAGACCCGAACCTGAGCACCGAGGGTTCGAGTCCCGCCCCCGCCCGGGGCGGAGCCGGCGAGCGGCCTCGCGGCGTTGCAGCCGCCCTCTGAGCGCCTGCGTCCCTTGTGCCAGGCCCAGGACCGGGCGGCGGAAGCGGCCTTTGTGGGTGTCCCCAGTCCGGGCAGCGGACGGACCAGACGATGAGTGACAAGCTCGACAACGAAGTAAAGTGAAGGGAGATCCTGATGGGAGACGGAGGAGATGGAGGAGGAGGGGGTAGGGGGGAGATGGAGGCGGGGTAGGTAACCGCTGGGAGAAAACGTGAGATAGGGGAATAAGTTGGGAGAGGGGAAAAGAGAGGCTGGGCGTAGGGTGCACTAATGGAGGTCGGGGTGTGGGACAAGGGGGCCTGGGGCGTTCAGGTTCTAGGGTCCAGCCCTCAGCCCAGCCCTTGTCTGTCTCCACATAGGGCCCTGTGCCCATGGAGGGCTGCGGCCAAGACAGCAGCAGTGCCCAGGGTAGCCCTGCAGCCCTAGCCCCCCAGGAGGAAGACAAGGAGGAGGAAGGGGGGGCTGGGGCGGCTGCAGAGTCCGTGCCTCAGCCTGGACTCTACAGCTACATCAGGGACGACCTGTTTACCTCGGAGATCTTCAAGTTGGAGCTGCAGAACGTGCCCCGCCATGCCAGCTTCAGTGACGTCCGTCGCTTTCTGGGCCGCTTTGGCCTGCAGCCTCATAAGACCAAACTCTTTGGGCAACCTCCCTGCGCCTTTGTGACATTCCGCAGTGCTGCTGAGCGGGACAAGGCCTTGCGTGTGCTGCACGGTGCCCTCTGGAAGGGCCGCCCACTCAGCGTGCGCCTGGCCAGGCCCAAGGCTGATCCTATGGCCAGGAAGAGGCGGCGTGAGGATGAAGGTGAGCCGACGGCCACATGCATCGCAGATGTAGTGACACCTCTTTGGACCGTGCCCTATGCTGAGCAGCTGGAGCGGAAGCGGCTGGAATGTGAGCAGGTGCTACAGAAGCTCGCCAAGTGAGTGTGGGTGCAGATCACCCCCTTGGCCCCAGAGTTCTGCTCGTTTGTATCTATGCTTGTTCAGCTCATCCTGTGCCCTGTACAGACATCCTCGGGGTCTGCACGGCCTTTTGGGTAGTTAGCCAGTGAAATCCATATATAATCAGTGTGGATAGTGAGGTCTTGAGGGAGGGACCTGGGCACCTGGGCATTTGGAGAATAGCTGGAGATGGTTGCAGGGGAAGCGGACTGAGTCCAACCTTGGCCCCACCTCATCCTGCAGGGAAATTGGGAGCACCAACCGCGCCCTGCTGCCCTGGCTCCTCTCACAGAGACACAAGCACAACAAGGCCTGCTGCCCGCTGGAGGGGGTTAGGCCATCACCCCAGCAGGTCAGGCCCGGCTGGTGTGGCCAGAATCTCATCTTATGTTCTTAAAGGAGCTCTTCTCACTTACCTCTACCATCCCTTTTCCTGCTTTGCATTTACTTCTGGTATTCGTCGTGTGACTGTTACTTGTCGACCGCCCCATCCCCTGGACGGCCAGGGTAAGGTCAGGCATGTCTCTCTCTGCCTCCCTGCAGACCGAGTATCGTAATAAGTGTGAGTTTCTGGTCGGCGTTGGGGTGGACGGGGAGGACAACACAGTCGGCTGTCGGCTTGGGAAGTACAAGGGCGGGACGTGTGCTGTGGCAGCCCCCTTTGACACTGTGCACATCCCTGGGGCCACCAAGCAGGTGGTGAAGGCCTTCCAGGAGTTCATCCGGTGAGGGCTTATGGCTGGGCTGGGGGCCTGGAGAAGTCCTGAGGTGGTCTGGGAGCAGAGGGTCTGCCTGGGGGGATTCTGGGATTGTGATCTGGCGGGTGCGGCTGGAAGAGCGAGCAGGGATGCTGCTCACCCAGTCCTGGTTGGCAGATGTTGGGGGACTCAGGGCCACTCATGGCTCCCACAGGTCCACTCCATATCCAGCGTACAACCCAGAGACGTACTCAGGCCACTGGAAGCAGCTGACTGTGCGAACCAGCCGCCGTGGCCAAGCCATGGCCATTGTCTACTTCCACCCCCAGGTCTCAGGCGGGGTGGCTCTCCTGGGGGAGGGTGTCTGGGCCACAGCGAGCTGTGACGCAGCCTTACGAGGCCTTTTCTGCTGCTTACCCAGAAACTGGGCCCTGAGGAACTGGCTGAGCTGAAGGCCTCCTTGGCGCAGCACTTCATGGCAGGGCCAGGCAAGGCCACTGGGGTGACCTGCCTCTACTTTGTAGAGGAGGGACAGCGGTGAGGAGCCTGGGTAGGGGTGGGGCGGGTCCCTGCAAGGGCTGGTGACACTGATGGATGTAACCCTACCACCCACAGAAAGACTCCTAGCCAGGAGGGCCTGCCCTTGGAGCACGTGGCTGGAGACCGGTGCATCCACGAGGACCTGCTGGGGTTGACTTTCCGGATCTCTCCTCACGCCTTCTTCCAGGTAGCCCCAAATTTCTAGGGATCACAAGGACACGTGGAGGGAGGCCTGACATGATGTCAGGATATGATGGGGGCAGTGGGTTAGGGCAGTGATAAGGGATTAGCCTGGGGAGAACGTCCAGGCAGGAGAGTCACAAGCACTGTAAGGTAGGAAAAAGATTGTTTGCCGTTAAGATTCTCTGACAATCCTTTGGGAAAAGGGTCCTCTGGGGGGTAGGAACAGGAGTTGGGGTGATGCCAGGGTTCTGGTGTGAGCTCTGGCACTCAGAAAAGAGGTGAGGTGTGGGTTATCAGCATCAAGTTGCTTTTCAAAGCCAGGAGACTGGGTGAGGTTGCCAGGCCTGATGGGATTGAGGGTCAGTCCAAGGACTGGGCCTCTGGCACTCAGATGGCTAGGTGGGGGAGGGGTGGGATCTGGAGACCTGGGAAGAGGGTGATTGACCCAGGGATGGGGCCACGGAGGCCCCCAGGCAGGAAGTGCCCAGGGTTGGGGGTGGGGAGGTCAGCGTGGGCAGGGAGGCTCCGCTGACCTCCTGGATGCTGCTGGCCCACTCTCCAGGTAAACACTCTGGCGGCTGAGGTGCTCTACACAGTCATCCAGGACTGGGCCCAGCTGGACACAGGGAGCACAGTGCTGGATGTGTGCTGTGGCACTGGCACCATCGGCCTGGCACTGGCCCCGGTGAGCCCTCCTGCCCCGCCTGAACCCCACCCATGTCACCTGCCTCATGACCCCCAGTGGCCCCCCACACACACCTATTCCGGATCCTCTTTCACTCCCCAAATGCCTCCCACCGTGCTGAGGGGGTCGGGATGGGGCGGGGTGCCACGAGTCTGTCCTTTCCTGACTTCAGAGGGCGAAGAGAGTCGTGGGGATTGAGCTGTGCCAGGAGGCCGTGGAAGATGCCCGGGTGAACGCCCGAGACAATGGTGAGAGCCAGCGCTCCACACAGTGAGTGGGCGGCATATGCTCCTGCTGTATACCTCAGCACCGCCCCTGAGGCCCACCAGGAGGTTCTTAGGGCCCATGGTGGGGTGAGGGCCCATGGTGGGGTGAGGGGCAGAGGGTGCAGGAGGGTTCCTACTGTGTGGACTTGACTGTGTGCCCAGGACGCTGGAGCTGTGTTAAGGGTGAGCAGGCTCCTTAGCCAGAAGGCTTTCCCGAGACACCTCTGGCCTGGGACTTCAAGATACCAGGTGGACCCTGTGGGGAGAGGGTGTCCTGGGTCTCCTGTGACAGGGCTATGGTTCCATGTCCAGAGTTGAGTAATGTGGAGTTCCACTGTGGGAGAGCCGAGGACCTGGTGCCTGCTTTGGTGAGCAGACTAGCCTCTCAGCAGCTCATTGCCATCCTGGACCCACCCCGTGCTGGCCTGCGTAAGTGCCCTCCATCTGGGAGGTGTCATGGGGGGGATAGGGATGTCTGGGTGGCACACCAGGCTGCGCAGCCTCAGGCCTGATGCCCATCTTATGTGGACCTCCTCAGATTCCAAAGTGATCCTGGCTGTCCGAAAAGCTGAGAACCTCAAGCGGCTCCTGTATGTGTCTTGCAACCCCCGGGCGGCCATGGGCAACTTTGTGGAGTGAGTGTGAGGTGGGGGGGCCTGGGGTGCCCCAGGACAGGGTGGACTGGGGACCCGGTGGACCCATGTGGCTGACCTTGACATTCCTTTTCCACCACAGCCTCTGCAGGGCCCCATCTAACCGAGTGAAGGGCACCCCCTTCCGGCCTGTCAAGGCTGTGGCTGTGGACCTCTTCCCGCAAACCCCGCATTGTGAGATGCTCCTCCTGTTTGAGAGGGTGGAGCAACCCAATGGCGCAGGGGCCCTGGCACCCCAAGACCCTCCAGCCCAGTCCCCACCAGAGCCCCCAGAGGATACCTTACAGGAAACCGGGGCTGCTGCCTCTTGCTAGGTCCCTGGAGGACTGGAAACTTGCCCTTTCAGAATGGGGCCATCTTCATCACCCGGGCAGCAGCCAAGGGGTTCCCCAAGGCCTTGCCTTGCCTTGCCTCGCCTCAGGACGCTCAGGCAGCACCTAGAGGGCACAAGACTTGGCTGACCCACTCAAGGTCCATCTGTCCCTGTGGACCCTAGGCTTCTGTAGCATGTCCCCTACCACTGCCCCCACACGTCCGGTTCTTTTTGGGTTAGCTGGGCTATAGGGCTAGAATAAACAGTTGCTGAACTACAGCTGTTACTGTGATGAAAACTCATTAGCACACGGGGCTCCCTTCTGCCACCCCACTGCAGGTGCTGGGGGCAAGGTCAATGGGGCACCTTGAGCAGCCCAAGTCTGAGTCTCCACCTCCCGCTAGCACACTGCCAGCCCCTCTGCATGGCGGCAAGTCACAGCAGTGTGCTGACAGCATCAGGTTTTATGCTTAACCCCAGGGGAGCAGAGATGTGGATCTCCTGGCCCATAGCTGTACATGTGGGGTAGAACACATGGCGAGGGGCCATCTTCTGCAGGTAGGCCCAGTGGTCTGCCCCGTTTTTCCTGCGCCCCCTGAGGTGAGGTTCCATCCCCAACCTAGCCCTGAAGGGAAGCCACTGGAGCTGGGAGCCAGTATGGAACACTGCCCAGTACCGTAGGAGCAGTGTGACCAGGCAAAAATGTCTCAGCCTGGGGGGGAGGTGGGGGGGCACGACTAAAGGGGGTGTTCTGGCATTGAGGGTCCACAAGCCCCATAGCCTCACATGGTTAGAAGAAAGAAACACCAGCCATTTCCTTTTGGGACAGTTTTGCTTTATGCGTTCGGTCAAGGCTCACCCTTACAGCCATAGTTTAGCCGCCACCTGGAAGGTACATGATGGCCAGTGGCCATGTGGAGGTGGCATCAGCACAGGCTCCCCCTGCCCTCTGCCCCCACGGCATGGCTGTGCACACACAACACTCACACCCACACGGACACAGAGAAAGGACATGGGGAGGCTGCAGCAAGGCTCACTGCCTCTAGTTAACACATGTGCACGAAGCTTTGGTTCACAATGGCGCATCTGGCTGTTCTGAGGGCCAACAGTCATAGTCAAATGATTATTCACAGCTGCAGACAGGAAGCGAGACAGAAGCAAGTGTCTTAATTACAGCAACTTGATTTGAGGGTTTTGTTTTATAAAGGTCAGCAAAGAAGCCAACCTCAGTCACATAGGTGGTAAGGGAGAGATACACTGTGGGTGGCACACAAGACTGACATTCTGAATTCATGAAAACAAATGCCATCAACACCAACCACGGGGGATGTGATGGAGAACGGGCATGCCCGTGGACACTGCAGCCCAGCGGTGGGCCCCTGCAGCCGACCGTGCACCAAGAGCACATGGCACCCTGAACAGGCCCTAGGGACAGGGAACGGATGGCCACCGCTACCTTGCACATGGACCCAGGGCCCCAAGCACACCCACGTCTCCTGGGGCTCAGGGCAGGGACACACCTACCCCCGCACCTATCTGCAGGAGCCACTTGGAGATCACTGCCTGCTGGTCAAAGGAACAGGTGGCCATGAGGCCTGGCTGCTCAGGGCAGGTGCCCTTGAAATCCAGTGCAGCCACCATCACAGGCAAGACCACCGCCCTGCACATGCTTATGCCAGCTCTGGGGAGGAGCGCCACTTTGTGAGCACGGATGGACCGCACGGTCCTGTTTCCTCTTCTAAAATCCTCCTGCTAAAAGGCTTCACTTGTTCATATCTGCTACGTGATTCCAAATCTACCTTCTACTCTCACTGTAAAAGTTTCTTCCCAAATGCTAAAATATCATAAAAGCTTTAAAAATTGATGGGTGGACAGATGGACTTGACTGTGCAAAAATCTTTAGTAAAAAGTTGCCAGAGGCCAGTGAAGGTGAGGGGCCTCGGTGTCTAAGAAGGCATGTTTTTAGGACATTAAGACTTACTCAGAAAAAATGGAGCACACGCCAGCCCAGGGCCCGGGCAACAAGCCAGGCAGAGACCAGCTGACTTCATACTCACACTGGCAACATGTTTCAAGGATTGAAAAGAATCACCTTGAGGGCTTGCCTGCAATTTCTGAAAAATAGGTGATTCTAAACTTGTGTTTATTTTAAGCCAAAAAGGTCTGAAATACTCCTTCCTGTTGTAACCTTTTCAGAGAAAAAGGGAAAACACAAGAGGCAGGGGAGGGGTGGGGGTGCCAGTGCGCACCTTCTGACCAGGCCTCTGCAGTGGCCTGTGGGAGCCTGCGGCCCAGGGCACCACAGGACTCGGCCGCCACTGTCTCAGTCTGTCACTTCTTGTCCGTGCGTGTTACATACTGACACTCCGGAAAACCTTCATCAAACCAGGCTGCAGCAAGTCCCCAGAGGCAGAGGTCATCCACGGCTATTGCCAAATTCTTGGTTCTCACCCACGTGGGCAAGCTGAGTCCATCCTTGAACACGTCCACTCAGACCTGTGGGTGGCCCCCAAGGAAGAGCTGCGTGGCCCTGCTGTCCCCGTGCACCAGAGCCCCACCCCTCTGGCCCCGGCCTTAGATGCCTGGCCGCAGGGGAGGAACTCCGATCAGAGGCCTGGAGGCTGCAGAGTGAGCGGCGCGTGGTGTCCCTGGCAGCAGAGCTGACAGTCCCCGCGCCTGCCCCTGCTGCCTCCCTCACACGTCCACAGTGCACAGGGGCTCGCCGCCAGGCTGGGCAGACGCCACAATAGACATCTTGGGCTTCTTCCGTGTCTCCTCCTGGAAGAACAACAAAGGTGAGGGATGCCAACGATGTGGGAACACGTGGCCCGGCCCAACCGTGGGCAAGAGGCGCCCAAGGCGAGGGGGAGGGGGACGGTGAGCTCAGCACACTGGTGCCAGGTAGCCTCTGGAGTAGGAGGGCACCAGCCCTGGGGGGCCTGAGGAGTGGGCCGGATAGGAGGCTGGCTAGGTCTGCCTGGATGCCATCTCAGAGTACTGCGTGCTGGTGCTTCCCTGGCAATCAGAACACACCCCAGAAGTGAAAGGCCAAGGAAGTTATAGCCATCAGGGACAAGCCCCATGGGTGGGTCTCTCTCCCCGCTCCAACTTGAGGGCAGAAGTGAGGCATCTCCTGGGCCAGAAAAGCCAAATAAAACCTTCTCAGGGTTTTATACAGGCCCGGGCAAAGACCACAGCTGAAAAAGGTCCTATAGCCTAGAAGCTCCTCAGGTGGGTAGCTTCAGGAAGCTTCACCGGGACCGAGCCTTATCCGGGTCAAATTGTTCTGTGAGCAGTGCTCCTCTCTCACAGAAATGCCAAGGGCCTGAAGAAGAGGTCCATGATGGCAGTCTGTCACCCACATGACCCTGAGTAAGGGAGGCCTGGCAGGTGCACTGTTCCTGCCTTCAAACAGTTGGTACTGAGTGGAAACACCCAGAAGCCAGGCCCTTCACAGCCGTAGACCAGGGCTGAGAGCTCTATAATGTAACTAAAAAATGAAGTGATTTGATGCAAGTGTCATGAATGCGTAAACACAAAGAAAAGGAAATCTACTCTGGAAGTACTGCGGACTCACTGGGAAGAGGGAGCACTACACAGGCTTCAGGAGCCAGGGATGGGTTCCTGCGGGCTGACTTTACCCCCACAGCTGCCAGTTTGACCTTGACTCGACACCCCCCCCCCCTCCCTTGAGGGCAAGGGGATGAAGGGAGTAGAGGGGCCATGGCCTGCGGTGCTGGCCGAGCCTGCATGCTCACCCTCTCCTCGGCCAGCCTCTTCATCTCCTCCTGCAGCTTGCTCAGGATGTGCAGGTTTGGCTTGTTCTTCTTGGCATACTGCTGCAGCTCAATCACGCTCTTGTCCGAGGTCTCCTGGAGAAGCACAGTGCCTCGCTCTCAGGAGTGCCTGGGGCAGGCCTCATCAACACACTGTGGCCAGCAGCCAGAGCTGCATGACCCCAGACCGGCTGCCCCACCCTCAACCCATACCCGGCAGGCTGACAAAGCCACAGAGAACGTAGACCAGTCCACGGCTGCCCAGCTCACTTTCTGACCATGCCACCCCCACTTCTGCCTCACCCTCAGCAGGAAGAAGCTATGGCCTCTTCCCTTCATAAGGCAAAGGCACCCAGGCAACCAGCTGCCTCCACTTCTGTCATTGGTGCTGAACACTCGCACTGCCCAGACCCTCAGAACGGAATGACCAGAGCACGGCCTCAGCCAGCGGAATGGCACACTGCCAGATGGAACACACCCTGGCACTGGGGCCCAGCTGGGGGCCCATTAGCCCTAGACACAGGGCTCTCTACATGTCTGCATGTCCTATGACCTTCAGTGAAGGACCAAGCTGTCCTGAGGCCCTTCCTGGGTAAAGAGGCCATCTCTGAGGAAACCTGCCGTGCCCTGCACCTGTCCTCCAAAAGATGCAAGCTAGGGCTGTGCCTAGACTGGACCCTCACCCTCCAACCTCGGGACGGTTTCCACTCAGGGGCCAAAGCAGGCTTTCTCGCTCTCAATCTTAGTCCAACCAAGATGCTGCACAAAAGTAAGGCATATAAAGGCGGAAGTCAGCCTCATCTGCACTGCATTTGAGTTATCTCAGCAACTCGTAACTTGAGGTTCCTCAAAGCACCCTACGGGCTCAGTGTCACTTCCTTCACCCCATCTTGTCAAGTCCCAAACGAGGGCCTCTTCAGGGATGCCACAATGACCACCCCTCCTCTTACTGGGGAGCCAATAACCCAAACTATTTCTGGAAACATCAGGAGAAAAACTAAAAACCATGAACACCTCCCAGTATTTCCTTCCACCTCACAAAGCACACAAACCTAAGGGTATTGATTTAAAACTCAACAACTCAGCAAAAGAGCAGAAACTAACCAGATGACATACAAGGTAAACAGGTATTCATAGCCAAGAAAAGCTGCCCTGCATCTCTTACTCTCCCTCAAGCTCCTAAGGGTCCTCAAATTAATCCAAGGGCTTCTAGCCCCATGGGGCTAAGGGCAGGGGACAACAGGGCTCAGCTCAGAAGCTTCCTATTTGGGCTGCCAGCACCACCAGCTGCACCTCCTGCTGGGCAGGCCTTTCCCACACAGCCAGTGCCAAGCCCAGGCTTCTCAGGGAGGGAGACAGAGCATGAACGACCTCCCACCCCCCCAAGGTCACAGATCGTGGCCAGCAGAGGGCCCAAGAGGCAGCACTGAACAAGAGCAGAGCTGCCCAACTTTGTCCCCTGTGACAGCAGGACCCCAAACACATGCTCCAGGGTGGGGGGGGGAGGATGAGAAGCATGGAGGCTGCCCTAGGCCCAGGGGAGGGACCCAGTTACCTGTTTGACCATCTTGCTGCTTTCGCGGCCATACATGCGAAGTAAAGACCCCCAGTTCTTGACATGTGGGTGCAGCAGCTGAAGGATTTTCTGAGAGGCTAACTGTTTTCCAACTCTCTTATTCTTACCTGTGAGGAAGAGGAAATGTGGAGAGGGAGTCCCTAACATCCAGCTGTCAACACAGCCAGCTCTCCGAAACAGGAGCACACCTGTCATGCCCCCACCCAGCTGAGGGCATGTTCTACAAGAGGGGGTAGAGACGTGTTCTAGCCCTGCACTGGGGACCACGTCTCACAAAGCTGAGGCCAGGACCCACCCCACCCCACTTTACAGCAAGAGCCCCCTCAGAGACTCTGGAAATCAGCGCAGGCCCAAGGTATAGCTGACGAGGCCTCCCTCCCACCACACCCCACACTTCCAGAGACAAAGACAAGCAACAATGAGTGTTGGCAGGACGGACTCCACCAGAAAGACCAGAGGAGTTTCCAGGCGGGATTTCTATGCAGAGGGAAGGCAGGGCCAAGGAGCAGAGTGGGTCTGGAGAACAGCGAGTGCCAGGAGACACCTATGGCCAGGCAGAGCAAGGCGGGCCAGCGTCCCTCCTCCGCCCCGCCTGCCTGCTCCAGAAGGTGGCTCCGTGAGGACTGGTGTCTGCTGGATCACGGGGACACCTGGGTGTGCAAGTGGTTCTGTGATTTTCCCAGGGACAACTGGTATGTTACCTTCCAATTTACACAGTACTGGTTCTGTGTATAATAGTCATAGAAGATTTTCTTTTAAAATAAAGTTTTAAAAAGTGGTTACTCCAAAAACCAAATTCGGTAAAGAGCGCAGGTGGTGCACAGAGACACCGGAACACAGGGACACAGAGTATGGCAGGCCAGGGGCTCTGCTGCCATTCCAGGACACCCCTCCTCCTGCCACAGGGACCACGGGCTGGATGGGGCACTGGTGGCGGGAGGGGAACACACGGTCTAACCCGATCAGCCCAATCCCAGGAACCAGGAGGACGGGGATGGTCCCGCCTGCGGGTGACTGGCTTTCTGAGGTCGAGAGGAGATGGCAGTGGACACACTACAGGCAGTCAGCACCCAAGGCAGGAGCTCGGGAAAGATGCCAAAGCAGTGGCCAGAGACCAAGCCACAGAGCCTCAGGGCTGCCAGAGAGGCCACACAGCAAGGAGCCACCACCCCAGCAGTCATGAGAAATTGTGACGGGGTGGCCAGAGGCAGGGGAGGCAGTCCTTACACCAGCCGCGCACTGTGTGTTTGCCGCACGCCATGACATATTCGCTCTTCTGGTTTTTACCAGGAACCACTTCAAATTTGATGGATGTGTCACCCATTCCATGGTTTCTTTAAGAAAAAACAGAGACAACAGGTGACATCAACTAAGAAGGGAGGAAACAACAACTTCAGGAAAGCCCTTTAAAGGCTCTCTGAAGACAATGCCAACCCTTTCCCCAAACCGCTTCTCAGCTGAGAAGGACAACAGTCTTTGCATACACCCGATCACGGGCTCTGACTGACCGCCAGGCACGAGGGGCTTCTGTGCACGCACGAACACTTGCCACGGCCCCGCTTTTAACAGCACCAGTTAAGCCAGGATAAATGACTAGTAAAGACACTGGGCACCAAAAGAGAAGCCCCCATGACCCCTCTCAGGAGGGGAAGCACCCGCCCTACCTTTTAAGGCACTCGTGGAGGATCTGATAGGGAGACAACAGTCCGGCCTTGCTGGTCAGCTCGTAGACCCGTGAGTCCTCAATACTGATGTGGTTAAAATACTACAAAACAAAGCAGCCACTCCTAAGTGCTAGACCGAGCCTGCTGGACGCACGGAGCTGCTCCCCACGCTGTCTGCTTGCCCCAGAAGTTTCCTGTCCTCTTTACTCCCTCAAGGAGCACGTTACACCCCCACCTCACTGTCCAGCTGCCCCTCTGAGACAGGACGAGCAGCGCTGTGCTAGGTTGGAGAGAACATGTTGCAACAGGGTGATAGAGCCTGGTGCTGCCTGGGAGCCTTTGCTGAATCTAAGTCTGAACAGACAATTAGTCAGAAATCTAAAGACAGACAACCTTAGGAGAAAAATCTGAAGATCATCGTGAGACTATAGAAGAAAGAAGGTAAGTCAAGACAAAAGCAATGTACTCTAAAAAGGGCAAGCCTCCTGAAGGCTGCAAAGGGCCTGGCCCAGCTCCCGTTTCAAACAAAAAGTCATCCATCCTGGCTCTGAAACCAATCACTATGAGAACCAGAGAACAGAACAGACACCACTTAACCTGTTTTTTTAGGGGAAAAAAGGCAAGTTCTGCACAACAGAGGCAGGCAGCAGCCAGGAAGTGGCTCTGACCCCAACCAGGCCTGGGCCTCTGCTGAGCCACCCGCAGTGAAGGGAGGCCATGGCCTACCCATTCAGCACAGCCCACCTCCATAACAAGGTACCACAAAGAGGGTGGCTTATTTTCTCACGTTTCTAGAGGCCGAAAGTCCAAAAGCAAGGAGTCAGCAGGCCACATTCCCTCTGAAACCTCTCAGGAAGATCCTTCCTTGGCTTCCCCAGGTTCTGACAGCCCCAAGCTTTCCATGGCTTGTGGCAGCGTCACTCCCATCTCCACATGGCCCTCTCTCCATCTCCCTGCCTCTTCTTGTAAGAACATTAACACTGCTGCTCTGGGGAGGGAGGCAGGGGTTCCTCTCCACCAGCGGACTCACTGTGACTGAGTCGAGAAAAGCAAGGTACTATTTCTGAAGAGGATTCCTGATTCTAGTGAGCTGCAAATCTCCCTGCTCTCATTTGGCTATTGTCTTCCAAGAGGTCCCCACAAGACACCTCCACTTACAAGTGCCCATATCAGCGTGGATCAGTTTCCAGGGAAAGTTATTCACCAGGACGTCAAGCCCTGGACCCATCCTCAATGGCTGGCCAGGTAGCCAAACCATCAGCGGAGGCTGGCTCTCTCACTCAGCCTATGAGGACCAGTCTCTAACTGGCAGCCAGCACCTGGGCTATGGATCAGGCTGAGCAGGTGGAAAACCTGTGTGCCCAGGATCCTCCCTGTAAGAGCCGAGGCACACACGCACAGCTAGAGAACACATACTCAGAAGCCCAAACACATCCAACAGCCGCAGGCAAAGGCCTGCACCACAGTTACCTGCACCAAGGGCCACAGCCACATGTGGCTCATGGTTAACCTATGAGGGGCATATAGGAACTACAGCACAAAGGGCAGAAGTGACCCACTGACAAGAGTATGGAAGAAGCCTAGAGAATCAGTGCCCAACAGACCTTGAAGGGCCATGAGGGAGCACCACAGACAGCCCAGCACCCATAAATTCAACAATTTAGAGAAAATGGACCAATTCCTTAAAAAATGCAAACTACCCAAACTGCCCTTTTCAAGAAGCTGAATTTGTAGTTACAACTTTCCTGCAGAGAAAACTCCACATGCAGATGGCTTCATTGGTGACAACTGCCAAACATTTAAGAGGAAAAAAAAAAAAAATGACACCAATTCTAGAGTATCTTTCAAAAAACCTTAAAAGGAGGAACAATTGCCAATTCATTTTATGATGTTAGTAGTACTCTGTTATTAACACCAAAGAGAAAACTACAAACTAATATCCCTCATGAATACAGGTATAAAAATCCTAAACAGAGTATTAGCAATTCGCAACCAGTAACACATAAAAATATATGCCGTGCCCAAGTAGGACTTATCCCAGGGATGCAGTTTTTAAAAAATAAATCAATCAACCAAATTCACTCTATCAACAAATTAAAGAGGAAAAGGCCTATCAACAAATACAGGAAGGGCATTTGACAAACTGCCAACACCCTTTCATGACAAAAACACTCAACAAACTGAGAATAGAAGAACCCTTCCTCAACCTGATAGAGGGCACCAACAAAAAATGGACAGCTAAAGTCACACTCAGGGGTCAGAGGCTGGATCCTTCCTGCCTAAGATCAGGAACAAGACTAGGATGTCCACTCTCCCCACTGCTACTCAACATGTAATGGAGCTTCTAGCCAGAACAGCAAGCCAACAAATAAAAGGCATCTAGATGGGAAAGGAAGAAATCCAACCACCTTTCATCTCAGTCAACCTAGTCTGTACACAGGAATTCCAAAGAAATCTATAGAAAAACTATTAGAACAAATAACACAATTCGCAAAGCTGCAAAACACACAGTCAACATACAGACAATAAATTCCATCTCTCTACACTAGCAATCCACATTCAGGACTGAAACTAAAGTGCTACTCACAACAGCTCCAAAACATGTATGAAATACTTATATCTATATCTAAGAAAATGAGTGCAGGATCTGCACACTGGAGATGACCAAGCTACAATAAAAGACATGACCGAAGACCTCAATAAATGGGGAGACACACTGGGGTTGTGAACCGAAAGACTCAATACCATTAGGAAGTACATTCTCCCCAAATTCATCTACAGATGTAACACAATTCCTATCAGAATCTCAACAGAACTTTCCATACTGACATACTGTTTCTTTATGGAAGGGCAAAGGAGCATGGTATGGAAGCACTTTTGAAAAAAGAACAAAGTTGGAGGGTTCACACTATCTGATTTCAAGAATTCATGTCATTTGGGTGCCTGAGTGGTGCAGTCAGTTAAGCATCCGACTCTTGGCCTCAGCTCAGGTCGGGATCTCAGGGTTGTGAGATCGAGTCCTGTGTTGGGCTCCGCACTCAGTGGCGGAATCTGCTTGGGATTCTCTCACTATCCCTCTGCCCCTACCCCCACCACAATCGCGCTCTCTCTCTCAAATAAATAAATCAAGAAGGTGTCATCAAGAAGGTGTGGCACTGGTGAAGGGACACACAGACCAAGGAGACAGAACCAAATGTAGAGACAGACCCACATATACATGCTGCTCCCCACAGACGTGCAAAGGCATCCAGTTGAACACACACCTACCGTACAGCCCAGCAAGGCCATCTTGGGTGCTTATTTATCTACGCTCACATGGAAACCTGGACAGCCTCATAGCAACCAAGTGCTAATCACCCCAAACTGGCAATGTGCTCAACACCCCTCAATCAAGAAGGAAGAACACACCCAGCACTGCCCTGTAGTGGGCACGCTCAGCAGCAAAAATGACCCAACCATCGACACAGGCACCAACAGAGACAAATCCTACGTGCATCACTGAGTTGGAGCCTGGTTCTCAGGGTACCTACCCTGTGACTCCACTGATAAGACATTCGGGAATTGGTTAACCTAGGGAGACAGCTCAGTGCCTAGCAGGGTGAAAAGAGAGAATTCTGACAACAAAAGAACAGTTAAGAGAACTGGGAGGGGGGATTTGAAAATGTTCTTGATTGTGCTGTGGGTTACATGACAAAACTATATGCATGGTTCAAAACTCACAAAAGTGTACCAAAAAGTGTATTTAATTCTGTATAATTTAAAAAGTAAATTGGGGAGGGGAAAAAAAACCAAAAAGGCAAAAACAATGGGTCACTAATACCTAAATTCTAGAACAACCATGAACCAACCAGAACCCACAGGTATCTAAGAAGCAATAATATACTGAGAAGAAATCATGCCAGGTCTTATGAATGGGCATGGTGCCAGTTCTGGTCATCCGTTTTTGCCTTTTTAATCAACATCAAACAAGCCCTGCCCCAAGCCTCTACTTCCATGGCAGCTCTCAAACTCTGGATGTTCTATATCCATGCCACCATTGCATGTGGACTTTGTGCCACTGTACCACAAGGACAGCAGGGCACAGCGAGAGCTCCCAAAGAACCCGGGCCCACTCAGCCCACCATGGCATCCTGCTGTCCGCCCCCTGGGAGTCCACACAAGAAGGGAATGCCCCCACAGCCTGAGCTCTGGCATCACACCTCCACAGAGGCACCATGGGTAAGAGGGGCCACCACCTACTGAGCTACTCACAAGGATGTGACAGAAACACTGTCACAATTTTTTAGGAGCAAGACAGCAAAATCAGTCAGAACTGAGATGCTCTAACACATCCAACCTGACAGAGAAGCTACTCTCTTCTCTAACAAATTTTAAAACAAGGGAAAAATACAATGTGAATGTGTGCACACACATACATTTAAATTCTAAGTGTGAAAAACCCTCTCCAGAGGATGAGGACATTTTTGGCCATCGGACACGTATTTGGTCCTTATATCCAGTTCCTGGCATGGAACTCCTAAAACCCTTAGAATTTCTTGAGTAATAGGTGTATCTTTTGTTATTCAAACGAGCCCCTCTGGACCTCACCTGTTTATGCTAATGAGGACACTGGGGGGAGGGTTGCGGGGGGGGGCGTTGGGGTTGGTGGGGACCCTGGACAGTTTCATGATAGGGCTGGTCACCAGAAAGACCAAACACAATTAAGGACCTGTTCATCTGGCTGTCCATGTGTATCCTTTATAATAAACCAGTAAACATAAGGTGTTTCCCTGAGTTCTGAGAGCAGATTCTAAAAAAGTTCTAATTCAAGCAAATTAATGAAACTGAGCGAAGTCATGGAAACCCCTGAATCTGTCGTTGGCTGGGCAATGTGGGTGGCCTGGGCACCCCATTTGTGGCTGAAGTGTAAAGTGTGGGCAGTCTTTTGGGACTGAATCAACTCCATGTAGACAGTGTGAGAACTGAGCAGAGCTGTAGACACCTCGCTGATGTCAGAGAATTGGAGAACTGACATGGAAAAGCCCCTTGTGTGTACAAGGGAACTTTTACCTGGGATTTCCAAGCTGCCCATGTGGCATCCTCCACCTGGGGAAACCTCCTC